ATCAGGAAACTCACAGAGAAGTACACCATCACAGGAGGTGGTGATCTTCAGTGGTTCCTTGGTGTGGAAGTCCTGAGAGACCGTGAAGAGTGCACTCTCCTTCTCTCCCAAGCCCAGTATGCTGAGAAGATCAGCCATCTGGTGGACAGAACAGACCTCAGGCATGATACCCCAATGGTAAATGTTGAACTCAAGCCAAGGGAAGGCCTAGCAATACTATCTGAGATCAACAAGTATCAGAGAAAGATTGGATCCTTGCTGTTTACTGCAGTCACCACTAGACCAGACATTGCCTTTGCAACTTCCAGACTGGCCCGCTTCCTGATGAACCCAGGACAGGAACACCAAAATAGAGCAGACCGCATCCTCCTATACCTCCTTGATACAAAGAACCTTGGTCTCAAAATAGGAGGAGGTGATTCCTTGGAAGTTGCAAGTGATGCATCATTTGCAGACAATACACTGGACAGGAAGAGTTCCCAAGGATATACAATCAAACTGTTCAATGACCTTATTGCATGGAAGGCAAACAAGCAAGATACAGTCACCACATCCACCACTGAAGCTGAACTGCTTGCACTCTCACAGGTGGCAAAGGAAACCATGTTTATTTCAAGACTCCTCAAAGAACTGGAGGTTCCACTCCCAGAGCAGACAATAACCATCCACTGTGACAATCAACAAACCATCAGGCTCTTCAATGCAGAGATCTCAAGGCTGCAGACTAAGCTCAGGCATGTGGACATTCACAATCACTGGCTGAGGCAAGAGATATCATCTAGGATCATCAGGATTGAGTATCTGCAATCAGAGAGGATGCTGGCTGATGGGTTCACAAAGGTATTACCTGGGAACAAGTGGAATAGGTTCTTGGAACAATTGGGCTACAAAGAGTGAAGAGCTCAAATGCCCTGAAGGAGATAGACTTGGATGAAGTGCAAGACAAGTTGGAAGACATGCTACTCTGAAGAGAAGATACTGTTGTATCCAGCTTGCAATGGATTCCAAGCTGAGGGGGTGTGTCAGATGGTAAGCCAGTTTATGGATATCCCATCTGGGACTGGAAAGGAGGACTGGGAGAAACTGTCTGTACCGGTACTGTCTGAGGATATGTGGCTAGTGATTCTGCAGTGGCTAGTGCTCTGCACAGCCTTGGTGCCCAGAGAAGAAATATTAAAACCGGTGTCAGGCCCCAGCCTCACACAGACAAGCACACACCAGAATACAATCAGTCAACCCATCCTTATTCAATCCTTCTGTCACTGTGACATCTTCAGATATCATCAAATCTGACAAAATCATAGAGCTCAGCCCAGGTCATCTCATCCCTGAAGTCTCCAAATATAGGCCTGTTTTCTGGAGAGGATAAAGAGCTTAATGAGGAGCTTGATGAGGAACTTGAGGAGTAGCCTTCCTGCATAGTTTGAGGTGTAGATTCATCTCCAGGTATTGTTTCCTGGCGGGAGAGCTCCTCTGGGGTAGGGCCTGTATGGTGGATAACCTTTTCAAATCTTCCTTCCTGATCCTCATTTCCTCCCTCAAGCTCTATAATCTTTCGAATATGGCATGGAGTCCTTTCAATCCACCTCTGGATCCTCCACTGAGGTAGTTCCTTCCACCAATTCAGCCAGTCCTGCTTCATCTTCTTAGCATCTACTGCTGCTCCTTTTGCTGTAGTCCTCCTTTTAAGCCATGGCCAGGCTGGTTCAATAGCATTCAAGTCCGGTGAATTGCCACACCAGAGGATCTTGTTAACCTCTTCCTTCAGATAGATAGTACCCTGGAACCAGTGGGCATGTGAAGGAGCCTTATCTTTCTGGACAATCATGCCTGGCCTTGTTTTCAAGCACTCTTTAGCAAAGGGAAGAAGCTTTGGCTGGAGAACCTTATTGTAGTATCTCCACCAGTCAATGCCTCCTCCTCCATCTCTCACAAGCTTTCCAGTTTCCTTAGTCCATCTCCACTGGGGTTTTAGCCCTGCCTTCTTCTTTAACCCAGCTCTTCTCATCATTGTATTAAGCTCCCACTCAGCCTTCTTTATAGGCTCATTTTCCTCATTCATTTCATCAATCCTTGCCTGCACCTCTTTCTTCTGCTTAGCTGTTTCTATTTCGTAGATGTAGCAAGGTCCCTTCCTGTAGTAAGAGAAGCAGCCCCAGAACATAAACTCAGAGTAGCCTTTCCATCTAGCCTGGAGAACAGTAGGATTATATTTCTCTGTCGGCTGCCTCCATACACGTATCTGGCCTCTTCTGACACCTAAAACAATGCTTGTTTCATCACTCCAAATTACATTCTTCCAGTCTTCAAGGATCCAGTGTTGGTGCTTCAAATGGAACTCTAATCTCTCTTTCCTCATACAGGGAGTAAGGCCTGGCTTCTTCATCTTTTTCACCTTCCTGAAACCCATCTCATGAAGAGTCTTCCTCACACTCTCTCTCCCTATGGCTTTCCCCTCTAAAGTAAGCTCATAGGCCAATATTTTAAGGATCTTTTCATGGCTGTAATGGTCCTTGCGCACCTTCTCAACTAGCTCCTTTGCAAAGGAGGGAGTCCTTTTGTGTGTAGCACCCGTACGAGCTCTATCTTCTACGTGAATGTTTAGAAGAAGTGAGCCATCAAAGCCTCTATCTTTTGCCTTCTTAACCATAGCTCTTTGAGTCCTTTCTCCTACTCCTATCAGCTCCTCAACCTTTGAAGAAGGAGCTCCATATAACCGTAGAGCTACAACTTGGGCTCGGGTGGCAATTTCATAGTTTGGGCGTGGAGGGTGAGGCATAATATCTTTAGATGAACAAGGAATATTCAGATTCACAAGATACTTAGGTTTGCACAAGAATCTGCACAGGAAACTAAGTATATATATAACTAAGTTGTGCTACGTGGCATGCCAAGGAATATGCGTTGCCCAGGGCAGCCACCCCTGAACACCGGAATAAACTTATTGGCAACACCTCCGTACTCAGGAAGACAAATTCGGTAACCTGTACTACTACGGACTACTGTGCTGGATGCTCGTCGCGGCGCGGCAACCAGAATCGGAGTATGCAAAGGGACAAAGTATAAGGAGATCGATACTCAAAGGTAGGATGAAAACGAATATTGATGACATGTTGACGGAACCAGAAAGACATGACAACGTGGCAGAGGGCCGCTATCTTTGTCGCCATCTGTTGATTGAGCTCAGGGAAGTGTGGGGGGAAAAAGCATCTGCGATAGGGACGGGCACGAGTACAGACATGTCTGACTTTACGGACTAACAACACGAAGACGAGGAGCTAGGTGCTGTTCACAAGTCGTTAATCTGGGAACTTCAACCTCTGCACCGAGCAGACCCACAGCAGGGACGTGCGTGGTGGGCGATGGTGCAGGGTGATTATCTGTGGCCTCCCTCGTGGCAGCCGCATGCATGCATCTGGGATACGACTCAGAGATGAGGGCCAGGTGAGGCTGACGGCAGGGTTCGGGCGCCGGAAAGGCATCTCCTTCCCCTATTCTTGTCGACGGCCATGGGAGAGGAAGGATCCGACACGAGTGAGATACGAGCTCGTCCCGTCGGAGTTGAAGGGACGAGGACCTGGACGGGCCAGCTTTGGACGCGGGCAACCCCATGAGGCCCAAATCAATGGTTGTTGCTTGTCGACACCGGCGAGGCGGCTGGCCCCGTCCCGTGCAGTCGCCATCTGCAGCAGGTCGCAAGAATAGCTTTTGCCGTAATAAATAATGTACCGATGCGGAGGTGTTGCGGCGCATTGCGACGACGTACTGAGTACTGAAATGGGTATCACAGTAAGAGCTGCCGGCATTGATGCTGGCCCAGGGTGATTGCATCGGACTCGTGCAGAGGAAGAGAGATTGCCCGGCTGTCATGGCAGGATGCCTACTGTACCTCTCGCGTGGAGGCGGCACGAGAGGAGAGACCACACACACTGCACACTGCACACAGTACATCCTTCCCATGGCGGTCCAGAGTCGGTACCATCAGCCCAGCTACCAGCTCCACGCCGCCGGCCCGGCGCAAATCATATCATGGCTTTGCTAATTCCGACGCTCATTATTATTCGAAGGCTCCGGGCGGGTGGCTGCCCGGCAGCGAGCTGGGGACTTCCATTCTTGCAAGTTGCTCGGCAACAGCCGCTGGGCCATGGGACCGTGAAAGCTGGAGGATGTGAAAGGGCAGCATGATAATACTCCGTAGTCTACCGAGCTTTCAAAGAGAACTCTATGCTTGATGTCGAGGTCATCAAACATGGCACGTACGGTGTACAGTACAAAGAGATGTCATAAGCCGACAAGCATCGACCCAGCGAAAGGGATGCACCACGGACATGGGAACGGGGCGCTGTCGATCTATTGAAATCCATCACCAACCCCAATCCGGGTCCTGAGCCAGAGGCCCCTTGGCCTCGTTTGGGGCCGTGCATGACTATTCTCTGCACTTGCCAGTCCACATGTCGACTGATGAAGTTGGTACTCCGTACGGAGTACTTGTGGCGGTACTCGGTAGGAAACGCCATGGCCAGCATCATCTCGTCCGTACTAGGTATGTATGATAATATTAGTAGTATTGGGGAACCTCCGCATGTGTGACCCCGTGACCAATAGATACGATACCTAGGTACCTAAGTAGACTCCCACTATTAGTAGAATCAGGAGATGGGGTCAAGACCAGCGAAGGACCTTCCCTGGCCGCTGTGGCATGGGTTGCCCATCCTCGCACGGCTACCTACACGGACCAACAAGCCCACAACCCCCAAAGGTGACCAACTCCAATCATCACTTTCATCCTCACCTCTGTGCAATGTCCACCACCACCACCACCACCACAACGACAACGCCGCCGCCAGCTGCTAGCCTGCCAGCCTCCAATTCTCTCCCGCGCCCAGTTCCTTTTCCAGTCCAAGCGTCCGCCTCTGCCAACCCTCCGCCCAATGACATTTTCCTAGAGTCCTCAGACCAACCCTGCTGCTCATCAACCTTCACCCACCCGTCCCAGTAGGAGAGACATGCTGTCTCCCTCCCTCCCCCGGGCGCCTACGTACATGCACAGGATTGTATTGCATGCTGCACAAATGGCCAATTGCCCATCATCATAGGGGGATCCTTCCCAAGGGTTCCTTCACACCCCCCAATCCACTAGAGCAGAATAACACTCACTTCCAGTTCTAGACCAAACAAAACTCCTAAAACTCCTTCAGGGCTCCAGCCCTTTTGCGCCGCTAGCTGCCCGTTGTTGGGCTGGTGGCCCTCAATCCGGACTGCAGGTTGCCCCAGCCTGTTCATCGACGGCCCCGGACGGCGCCCGCCCGTCACCTCCCTGCCTCCCCGGGCCCTGTTCACTCTTGGTGTGTGCCCACGGCCTGGGCTAGGTACGGACTACCGCTGTTATATCACTCAACCTCGCCCAGACTTCCAGGTAGCTCTTCGTCCATACGTGAAACGCTGCCCTTCTTGAACTGCTTCTCCTCCTTAATCTTGGCCACACTCCCAGACCCATCGAGGACCAACAGTGCCCTCCAACTTGCCCTCTATTAGGTCTACCGCCAAATCCCAACAGCTCCACCGTTCAAGCCTTACTGTCACGACCATCTGCGGATCATCTAGCCCTCGCTTTGCGGCTTATCCCCTCCTGGCGCTGCTGTGTGCGCGTAGAAGTGAGTGGACGCCGTGTCCCCTCGCCACTCCACCTTTTGCGTCCCTCGACCATCACGACCAAGAGTCCCCCGAGGTACGGCTAATCCTGCCCTCCTCCTCAACTTCACATACTACCGCAAAACCACCCGAGGTGGTTTGAACCCGTCTGCTCCGATCTCTTTGCTCACTTATCACAGATCATCAAGGTCTCTTAGCCAAACGTCTCTATTTCCTGAAACATGTCCGCTAGTTTCATGGCTGGGCCCTCGAGCGGCTCTGCAGCAGTCTCACCGACCGGAACGAAACCCCAGATGAGGAAGAGGACCAAGACTGGCTGCTTGACATGTCGAAAACGCCGAATCAAGTGCGGCGAAGAAAGGCCAACGTGTGCCAACTGCATCAAGTCCAAGCGACAGTGCGAGGGGTACAACCCACCTATCAAGTGGCAAAATCAGCAAAACCCTATGAATTTCATGACCCCAATGCAGTTCCACAGCTCCATGCTGCCCGGCTCACGGCCAGAATACGGCCATACCCAACCCAGCCCTCACTCGCAAGAGTTCCAGCGTCCAGCCACGCAGCATGAATACGCAAACGTTGGAACTGCGCCAGTCCGTGCAGTAGAATATACGCAACAAACTGTTTCGGGAGTCGCATCCGTCTATGCGGACGACTCGAGTTATTTCCATCACCAGCCTCTCCACACACCGCAATCCGACCGTCGCGCCCCTACCAGCGCGGCGGGCTCGTATCATGCGTCACAGGCCCCTCCCACGCACGCCCACTTTTCCGTTCACTATGGCCAGGGTCTGTCAATGGACTACAGCCCGCAGCAGCCATTCACCCAGGCAGTTCACCATCATCAAGCCCGGGTTTCTCATCCCTCTCAAATCGATCCTAGCCTCACGCCTTCACAACACCATCCGGGTTCCGCATACGATCATTCACAGCGAAGGGACTATGGGAGATACTCGGGGCAGGTACCTTTCCATGACAGCAATCCGGGCAGACGCACGCATGTAGATTTCAACGGAGGCGGCCAGTATCCTTATTACGCTGCCACGGGCGGCACACTTCCCCCTGTTCAGATACCCCAACCCGATTCCAACCCTGATGTAGAGTTTCTGCCTCAGCATGCCCCAGCTATCGGTATGTCCCGTGTTTAATTACCCCGATGTGTCGCACACAACCCATCATACATCTTATCTCTACGTCATCATGTGAATTCCTCTTTTCTCTTCCAATCTCGCGTAGACACTGTAGAGTTTTATGTGTTCTTATACATACGAGTTTTACCCCTGCTTTTCACTGCCATCTCGTCTGTTGTTCTGCTACAATCCTAATCCCCTCTCGCCCCACCAATAATGTGGCGGGCGCCGGTGGCGCCACCGAAAGCGACCAAACTTATGAAGCTAATTACTTTTCGTTACCCATCGCAGAACAAACAGACACCGTGGCCCAGCCCCAAGAACAGCTCCAGCCCGAGCTCCACCTTGGCGGTTTGGGTGGCATCGATCACGCAAGCCCTACACAGTTACTCGATGAAGCTGCGGTTGAGTGCGAGGATGACGATTACTACGATGTTCAGTCAGACGAAGAGGTGTTGGATGAGCCGCATGACGGGATGGTAAAGGGAACGCATCCGGATTTTAGTCTAATCCAAAGGATACACCGCGAAAGCATCGGTCACTCGGATATACGACGCTTCGACTCGTTCATCTATGAGGGCATTCTAACGTCCTATCGGCCGGAGCAGGTGGCCAGCCCCCTCAAGAACCCCAAGACGGCGAGGGTATTCATGCACTTTATTCATGTCACTGGCCCGACCTTGTCCATCTATGAACGGAACCCGCGCAACCCTGCTCTGCTCTACGGGGGTCAGCTGCCTCCGCCTCCCTCACAGCAGAGTCTGTGGACATATACACTGCCGCAGCAAGCGTTGAACAATCAAGGACTGCTGCACGCCATGCTTGCATTGTCGAGCGTGCATATCGCGAAGCTTCAAAACGCTTCTGTAACGCCCTCTTGGAAGCACTACGCCTACTCACTCAAGCAGCTAGGCCGCGCGCTCACCGACCCCAACAAGCGCCTTCAAATACCCACGCTCGCTACGGCACTCTTACTCGCATACTACGAAGTCATGACAGCGGAAATGGTCAAATGGTCTGTAGGACTGCCATCTTGCTTCTACCTATGACGTAGATGGTATTGGCGAAGTAGACGCTGAGTATCAAAGTATAGGTCTACCCACTTGGCCGGTGCAACACAGCTCATCGCCGAGTTGGATTTTCGGACGCTCACTCAGCACGCGCGGCAGTTCGTCGCCTCTCAGACTGCACAAGCGGAGAAGGCTCTCCCACTGCAGCAAAAGACGGTGATAGGACAAGAGCACCCAAGAGACACCCCAGTTCCTGATGAAAATCTTGTGAGCACTATTGCGGGGTACAAGGTCCGTTATGACGATTTCGGTGTGGTTCTGGAGGATCGGCATCAGAGGAAAAGGACCAACGCCGGAAAGTTTGACCTTCAAAGCCATGAGACGCTGCAAGATCTTTATTGGTGGCATTGCCGACAGGATATGATACAGAGCATAGTCAGCGGGAATCCATTGGTGTAGGTATGCGTCCGTAGTCATCGTTTTGCCTTATTGACACTTCCTAGTATGCCCTATCGGAAATGGTCAGACTGTCCTCCTCGCGCACCTCTCGGCCGCATTGATGCCCTCTATGGCTCGCATGACCATATCATACTGCTTATTGCTCGCATCGCGGATTTCATTGTACGCGACCGGGAACGCAAGATCAAGCAAGTTGAAGCAAACGGCGGACATTGGATACCTACCCCTGGGGTGCCAGGCCTGGGTGCTATGGGACCTCCACCTACTCACGCCCAGGGCCCGCGAGGGCCTCCTTCTATCCCTTCAGTGCCTATGGGCCCGCCGCCGCATATGCAAACCATGGGCCCTCCTCCCGGATGGAAAGGTCCGCCGCCGCCTGGCTGGAGGGGAGGACCACCTCCAGGCTTCCAGAGTCCTCCACCATCAGCGTCTCAAGGTCCTGCGTCCGCAACTCAAGGTCACCCATCAGGCTGGACAGGCCCTCCACCACCCGGTCGCAAAGGCCCTCCTCCATCATCAGGACTTCCAGCACAATCGCCCAACTTTCCCGGTCCCGCCAATCAATCGCAGGGTTCAACGCCGCAAGAAACTCGCGGCCCTTCCGCATCAGCGGCAGGCCCCGGATTCTACGGCATGGCGCCTTCACGACCTCCTGGACCTCTTCCATCCAGCTACGCCAATCCCAACAGAAGCGCGTCCAAGTCCCCGCCCGATCCACCGGGAGACTCGCATGCCCAATTCTCCGACCTCGCCGCGGCATACCAAGCCGCCCTCGAGGAATGGAACAGCATCTCGCACGCTCACGCCACTGTTGCCTCCCTCCTCTCCAGCAACCCCGCCTTCGCTCCCCTGACAGCAGACCTGTATCCCGCGACCACCCCGGGCGGCACTCCAGCAACGACGCCGTTTGGGCCCGCCCTCATCTATAGAAGCTACGACATCAGCATTCTCTGGACGTTGCTTCATCTCGCTCAGATTCTCCTGCTGCGGTCTCACCCGGGCATGCCTCCTGCGGCCATGGTTGCAGCCGCCGTCGGCGCGGCAGCCACGCAGCCTTATGCCATGCTTATCGGAAGAATCGTTGCGGGACTGCCCCTGTCCCCTTCCTTTCCGGCTTCCTCTCTGGGTTCCTCAACAGAGCAAGCTCCCGCACTCACGCCGGCACTCGGCGCAGCCCACATAGAGTCGTGCATCAGTTTGTTCTTCGCGGGTGTGCAGTACCAGGATCCGGCACAGAGGGAATGGCTAATCACCCGGCTTCTGGAGATCGACAAGCGCACAGGTTGGGCGAGTGCGAATGTGATTGCCAGGAGCTGCGAGACAGCGTGGGAGAAGGCAGGAGAGGCGGGAAGGGGACCGCCGTATGTGGAGAGGAGGACGAGGAGGTTCGGAGAGGAGGCTGGAGGGGCCGGTCAGAGGAAGGGGAAGGGGGAGGAGAGGGCAGGGCACAAGGGTGGATCGGGACAGCTACTCAGGGAGCGCGGCCAACAACAGCATCATCACAAACCCCAGAAGCCACCAGATATCCACCATGCGGAGGAGTGGGACGAGGGCGAGCGCCGCTATGTGGTTCGCCATCGGGCTGGGTTTGTGCCATGGGCCATGAATCTGCTGGCGGACGAGCGGGACATTCGCGTGAGGATGGAGAGTGTGGCTTTGGTTGATAATGAGGAAAGTGGAAAGACGAGGGAAGATGGCGGGCCGTGAGGAAACGGGTCAGGGGTTAGGGCTGCGGTTCCAGGTCATGGCTTCGGACCTTGAATTTTTGGTTGCTGCATCGTCGATGATAGCGTGGCGCTGTTCGGTTTGTCTTCGCTCCTCCTGTCCCTTTGATCATCTTGATGACGAGTGTGCTTGGCATGCTTGCCGGAAAGTATTTGTAGTGTCCAAATCATGTGCGATATTCTAGCCAAGATTCAAGGCTACATCTAGGGTACCTGCAATGGCTCGCAATGTTGAACCTTCGATTTCGCAGCCGAGGATCCGTGAACCTCACTCTATACGTAACTATAGAGAAGGACAAATACATATATATTAACTAGTAGATGTGTGTACTAAATAAGGCCCTGAGTAATCAAAGATTTCCGTCCGAAATGCTGCAGTAGATGGAGGTTGACCGACGCAGGGGGGGAGTGCCAGACCCCAGCCCGTTCGCTATGATAAAGGAAAATGGAACCTCCTAGCAATCTATATCCAATCGAGAGCAGAGTTGCAATCCGAGAAGGGGGACAGAAAGAAAGGTGGGTGCGCCTGCAAAGCTTGCCGGCACGACCTCATCGTGGCGGGACTCGTACAGAGGAGTGTTCATGGTGTCCAGAAGCGCGGTAAAGCAAAGGGACGCCTACTTGAGGTACTCGGGTTTGCGGCTCTGCAGCTGAACAAGAAGGTCGTAGAACTTGCGGTCGTACTTGACGCACTGCAGGTACTCCCACCAGAGGCGAAGGGCAGGCGGCTCATCGGCATCGGCCTGGCAGTTGTTAGTAACCTCCAATACGTCGCAACCTGACGACTATACATACTCTCTCGAAAGCCTTCATGATGAAGTCCTTCTTAATCAGTCTCGTCTTGAGCATGGCATCCTTCTCCCAGTCCTTCAGAACCTTGACATGCTCCTTGACGTCCCTGTACACCTTCTCCTTGACCTTCTCTTCCTCGCCATTTGCCCCACTGCCTTCGGGTTGCCCGTAGAAAGTCGTCCCCTCGTACTCTGGCATCGGGAAGAAGTGCTTCATAAGCGCCTTCCTGACCCACTCGTCCTTTCCTTGAGCACTCAACTCCTCGGCCCAGAACTCCTTGACATGCAGGGGAACGTACTCTTGCATACGGTCGTAGTCCAGCTTATCCGACCAACGCGTCTGGGAGTAGTTGCCAAAGTAGATGTAGCGACGGTTGTTGCCTTGTGCCCAAGGGGTGCTACATACAAAGAGTGGGACGTTGTCCAGAGAGATGTTGGCTTCCTCGCCGTAGATGGTTGCGGGGTGTTCGTTGAAGAAGGCGGTGAGCTTGGCACCATGATGGCCGGGTTCACGGGGCAGATAGGGCTCGAAATCGGCGTTCAGGAGGTAGTAGCTACGGGTGGGTAGAATGCAGATGCCCGTGCCCGGCGGCATGATTCTCAGGCCGGGGGACCAGTCCTTTCCGCCGAAAGTGTCCTCGAGAAATTGAAGGCTGAAGGACTTGGTGTCATTGAACGAGGGAATTATCGACAGCTCTTCTACAGCAAGCTTGGGAAAGCGGAGGACGGCGGAAGGCATCCAGCCCTGGGCTGAGCGTGCCACGTATGGATCCTCAACAGACTGGCGAGGGACATCGGGAGCGAAGGTTGTCGTAGGGGATATTGGCGGCGGCGTGAGCTCGGGAGCTGGGCGAATGACCATGGGCACGGGATCGACCTTGCCATCGGTGACGAGCGCATGAGCGGACCCGTTCGTTTGAGTTCGAAGATGCGGTGGCACAGACTTGAGCTCAGTGAGAGAATTGCCAGCAAGCTTAGACGTTTCAGAGGAGTCGTTGGTAAGCGAAACGTTGGTAACCAAGAAACCATCTTCTTCCTTGTCTTGGTTGACGCTCTGACATAACCCTGGACAGGCCGAACGAAGCTCCATGATCTCGCTTTGCATATGTTCCTGGCCCTGTTCTAGCTGGAGGACTCTTGTGGAAAGCTCGGAGAGCAAGGACTGGGCGTCCTTTTGAGCAGCTGCAGCTGCAGAACTATGGGAGAAGTCCATGCGTGGAGTGGAGATTGGCCGGAACTGAGAGGCCCTAGGATCCAGGGCGGACGACTGGCGAGAGTAAGAGTTTGAGTTGCCAAGTGAGAATGAACTCATTGTCTCAAGATGTTCGGTAAGAGAGACGTGAATCTAAAAGAGATCGGGTGGATGTGAGACTGAGTATCTGTCTGTAGGGCTGACTGGATATGATGATGATCCGAGTAGACTCTCAAGCAGTGGCGGTTATCAGGAAGTGGGCAAGGTAAGCTGGTTGGGGTAAATGATGGAAGAGAGGAAGGATTTGTAGAGGGAAAGGATGGAAGAGAGAGAGGATTTGTAGAGGGAAAGGTAGGGGTTATATATACATCAGTGATCGAGAATTACAGCTAGCAGGCGGTCAAGCCAAGTAGAACGGTGCAAGATGGTGAGAGTACGGAGTGGCGGTGTACCTATCCTCCTTCAAAGAGCCTGGAGAGAATCAGCGGTGTGGCCTAAGAGCCTTAGTGTTTAAACTTCTTAACAAATATAATGATGAATGGGACGGCTGGACTCGTGTTGTCAAGCACATTCGCTGGGGCATTACCGTACCTATAACTAAGAGAGGAATGCAAAACAGTCAAGGCCGACATAGTGTAAATGGGGAGAAGAAGTTGTATTAAGGCGAGGGGCTAGAGAATTGGAGGGTTCTGACGAAATGAGAAATACACTTTTTCCTAGATCGCTCAGCAGAGATCTACTCACGAGAAGGCAAGCCATCCGTTACAAATACAGATACTCCACAGGCAGGGATCGTGCCGAACAATTCAGAGACACCACTGTAGAAAACAGACTAATTGGCAATAACTCTGTTGCAATAATCTGTGCATACAATATACTGTGGACTTGTAGAAGGGACCACCTCTTCTAGAAGCACTGAACCGTTAGTTGAGAATCATACAAGTTCCCAAGGACTATCATTGGTCGAATTGTGTAGCGTGTTTTATCGGCTGGTGCACGGCCTCGGCTGGTGCACGGTCGGATGCCATCTATACCCCACCAAATATGAGGTTATTGAGCCACTTACAAAAGGGATTATCATGAGATTTTTTGGAGTTTGAATATATAGCTATATGCGATACTATCTATAATAAAAGTTTGGCTGGTAGCTTGATTTGTCGGCCACGGCGTGAGGTTGTTGGTTGGGGCGGTGGTGCAGCACCGGGTGGCTCCCCAGATAGCTCCCCATCATCTAGTACCTCAACAACAACCTTTTCTGCTTGTTTCTGCTTGAGTCTTTTTTTATTACCCTTTTGGGATAGTTTGATATCTTGTTGAAGTTGTTTTTTGAGCTCACAAGCAATATGCTGCTCTTCTCGTAGAGTGGCTTTTTGGGCTGCCTCACGCTCACGCTTCTCCTTCGTGGCAACTCGCATTCGACGACGTTCTTCTAGTACCTGAGCCTTTTGAAGCTTTTGTTGCTCTCTTATCTTAGCTGCCTCATCTTTCTGGTATTGTCGTGCTTCCTCTGCTTGATCCTTTTGGTGTTGATGTTGCCTGGCTGCTTCAACTTTTGATGGAGACCAGAAGATCACACCACCATTGTACTCAGGAGGTGGTTCAAGTAGTAGAGCTTTACCACACTGCCGATGCTTCTTCTCATTGATAAGGGCTTCCTTAAGTCTCTCATTTTCGTGTTGTAGCAACTGCTTTTGTACTGAGATCACGTGGATTGTGTGGCTAAGTTTTTTCGATTGTTGATTGTATGTATCCTCCACCACCTCACGTAGAAGCCGCTCAATCTTCCTCTAATCTGAAGCACTTAACACTGACATTGTAGAGTCACTTGAGGAAGGCCGGCTGAGCTCTTTGGTAGTGAAACGCTCCAGTATCTGCTTTGGATTGTACGGAGCCAGACCAGTCTTCTCAAAGGCTTTGAGGATGTTTTTTTCAACAAAAGAGGCTTGCCAAGAAGTGTTAAAGAGGCGGAAGAAGTCGTGCTTTGTGATAGATGAGAGGCCTTGACAGTTGGCCATAAAAGTAGCCAGTTCTTTGGAGTAGCTCACTGCTAATGGTGAAAACATGACAACATCCAGTGGCTGCAGCGTATAGGTTGAGTGAGGTGGTAGTACCATCAAGAGAATCCGGTTCTCATCACAGTACTTGATAAACTCCATTGTAACGTGAGAGCCATGCCCATCAAGTATTAGTAGCCGCCAGGACTGCTGTGTCTTCGCTTTTGTCTCGCGATCAAACACCTGTTTGAGCCAAGCAACCTCAATCTCATTGTTTGTCCATCCAGAAGGAGATGATGTAAAGAAGGCTGTATGTTTTAAGGTGTTGAAGTCTTGTAGCCAGGTGTTTTGGATGTTACCAGAGGTGGCTTAATATATAAGGGCAGGTGTAAGAGTAGTCCTATCCATGCATATACAAGCTAGTATTGTTATCCACTCCCGGTTACCATCTTGGAGTTGAGATTTGAGCTGGCCTTTGTCATATATCTCTTTTGTGAACACTCTCTTTGACTTTGATAGTATCCCAATCAGGAAATCCTTCTCATCCATATTGTATATGTACGGGCTTGTAATACTGTACTGCTCAATCTTTTGCCCTAATAGCTTAAAGTATAAGCTATATTTAAAGGCAGAATCAGCTTTATGGTGGCTAGTATCCATCCCAGATGTCCAATGTGAGATAAGGTCAAGCTTGTGGCGCTCAATAAAGCGATCTGGCCAGCATTTGCCTACAGGTTTTTGGGCTATTTCCACTGCGAAATTTCGTATCATCTCCCTTGTAGGAGGTAGTCCTCGTTTGCAAAGGCCATGGATATACTGTACAAGCTCGTTTTCTTGATGGTTGTTGAGATGCCGGTGTTCTTCGTATTTTTTCTCCAGGGGGCCACATACCTGCCGGTGCCTCCGTGATAATGTGGATCGCTCAACGCCAAACTCTTTTGCGACTTTGGTATAATTAGGAGTTTCGCCTATCTTCAGGCTTTCTAAAGCTGCAAGTGCTTCTTCAATTGGGCTCATATTGGTGGAGATATATGGTGTTGAAGATATGGGATAGGATGGCTCCAACCGTGCACCAGCCGAGGCCGTGCACCAGCTGATTAAACACGTTACACCCCGGTCGCGTGTCGGCAAAAGGTTTCCCCGGAGACCCTGGAAAACGTCACCGAGTTACAACACCTCGAAAGTTCCCAGACCGTCTCAGATGCCCGCGGCCACTTCTTGGAATGTGACTCCTCCTGCCTTCTGCGACCCTGGCTAGACCTTCACCACAGGTCGAGCACTCTTTTTCCTCACATTGTTTCTGCCCAAAGGGAGCTACACTATGCCTCCGGCAAAACGCGCCGCGCCTGAGGATCCTCTCAGCCTCAAGGAGAAACTCAACTCTGTGCAAGCTCCGGGCGCCCGTGGGCGCCGCATTGGGACGGCGAACGTGACCAATGGTAGTCACCTCAAGGAGGTTATAACCTCGACCGCGGACAGTGCTTCTACGAGCAGCAGTCAGACCGAGCAGAGTGCTTCAGGAGTGAGTAACGGACCCCACTGCACCCTGGCCAAGCAGCGTTGTTGCCAGATGCTGACGCCTTCTGTACGTGTGCAGATTTCCTGGACATCGCAAGACCGGACACTCTTGCAGGGCTACCGCCGGGCATACCGTCTCGACACACCGTCATCGTTCAAGAATCCTCTCAGTAACATTGTGCTTGGCAGCGGCATTGGGCTCTGTTCGCCCACCATGGCACGGCCCAAATCGAAAAGACGAGTACACAAGGACCAGCTGGCTATGGCGGTGCGGAAGAACTTCAACGCCAACGGAGTGAATGAGACAGACGTCCTTGTGGATCTGCTGTACAAGGTCAAGCACCAAGGTAAGCACAAGCGTCCCGGACATGCGAAGGGTCAGGTACTCACCGCGTTGCAGATAAGGAGTTTCGAGCACGCTTCGCGCCGCGAAAATAACAGTCGAGTCCCTCTCATGACCTCGTTGCATTTACGAACTTCCTCGCATTGATACCCGGTGGGCACATCACCGAACACGCACGCTACAGAATAATGAGCATGAGCATCAGGCTGGAGTTTGGGTAACTTCTCTGGTCGTGTACCAGAAGATCATCGTTCATATGGCTTCGCATGGATTTGGACTGCACAATGTACCAACGCCTTTCTGTTATGACGATTTACTGTAGGGGAATCGCCTTTGCTAGGTTTACGGTACATTGGTTCCGCTTTTGGTATTCGGCACAGACAATACTATTAGAACAAACGGTTATTTGCTCTGTGCAGCACTGCCGTGGTACCTGTGAGTGTCTGCATACGTCGGCGACTCTGCAGCTTACGGACGGTTTTCCAAGCGGCGAGACATTGAGGCTCGCGCAATCGCCCGTTGACAAACAAGGCCGTGCTTATTGACGCGTAGGTCGCCATGGAACTGGGGAAGCTGCAGCTTCTCGTCGAGCGTACTTGTTACAATTGTACACAGTACTTGATACAACTGTCGACTGCCCTTACAAGACTCTGATACAAGAGCGCTGGAAAATTCCAGAATCGCAGGAGCATGCGCGTGCCGAGGCCAATGATGTAGCGCGTGTCGTGTGGCTGGTTGGTCCGAGCGCCAGATTTTTCCATCGGAGGTCCAGCTTCGACCGCCATGGGCGATGTCTACTACTGGTACTCCGTACTTGTGTGATAGAGCCGCGCCTTGTTGGTTGTTGTTGAGCATTGGATACCCTCATCTCACATTGCACACCCAAGGAACGGAAAACGGTTGGCCGAGCACTGCCATCATCAAACGATGAGCTTCGTTGCTCCTGCATTGCCTCTGAAAGCGGTTGCGCCTGCCCGCATCGTCTCGGCTTCTCGACGGTGCCAGCGACGGTGTCTATCATCCAAGGCGCAGGCAAATAGACCCTCTGTAGCAACCTGGAGACATCAACACAATGCTTCTCACCCAAGAGTAAGCCGGCCTCCTGCCATTTACCTCCGCCTTTGCACCGTCACTGACCTGTCCTCCGTGCAAAGTTCTTCCACGCAACATCCCCCTGCCCGGCCATGGCGGACCCATATGCCACCTTGGGTGTGAGCAAGAACGCGACTGCGGCAGAGATCAAAAAGGCGTACTACGGCCTTGCGAAGAAGTACCACCCGGACACGAACAAAGACCCCGGCGCCAAAGACAAGTTCGCCGCCGCGCAATCCGCATATGAGCTGCTTTCCGATGCCGACAAGAGGAAGGCCTATGACACCTATGGCGGAGCAGCGTTTGACGCCAATGGTGGCTTCAATCCCAGTGCGGGTGCAGGGCCTGGCCCTGGCCCTGGCATGGGCGGGCATCCTTTTGGTGGCTTCGGCGGATTCGGAGGTTTTGGAGGCGCCCAAGGTGGATTTGGAGGTGGCTTTGCGCACGATATCAACCTGGAGGACCTGTTCAATGCGTTTGGTGGAGGCGCAAGGAGAGGAAGAGGCAGGAGAAGCCCGTTTGAGGAGGAGGTCCTTGTCGGGGAGGATATTGAGGTGCAGACGAACATCTCCTTCATGGATGCCGCCAAGGGCGTCAGCAAAGACATATACATCACGCCCATGGTGGAATGCAAGACGTGCAGTGGTAGTGGTCTAAAGAAGGGGGCAAAACGATCCGAGTGCAAGAGCTGTGGGGGAACCGGTACAAGAGTGACATCAATGGGCGGCTTCCACATGTCTGCAACATGCTCGTCGTGTGGTGGATCTGGCATGTCAATACCCCGTGGGTCCTCTTGCGACACGTGCAAGGGTGACGGTGCAGTGAAGGAAAGGAAAACCGTCACTATCGATATTCCAGGAGGAGTGGAGGATGGCATGCGGCTACGAGTTTCGGGCGAAGGTGATGCGCCCCTAACAGGCCGGGCAATAGGCGCCAACGTGAAGGGAGCGAAGGGAGATCTTTTCGTCCTCATCCGCGTTGCATCGGATCCGAAGTTCAAGAGAGCTGGAAGCGACATCCTTCACACGGCCACGATACCGCTGACCACGGCCGTTTTGGGCGGCGAGATAAAGGTACCTACGCTCGATGGGGATGTCATGGTCAAGGTGCCCAGCGGTTCGGGAACTGGTGACAAAGTCACCCTGTCTGGTATGGGCATGAAAGTGCTGAGCGGCAGGAGAAACGCAAAGGGCGATCTGAAAGTCGAGTTCAAGGTGCAGATGCCGAAGTATCTGACCGCCAACCAGCGCACGATCCTAGAGATGCTCGCCGATGAGATGAACGACAAGTCTGCAAGGCGGATCATGAACCTGGACAAGCTGAAAGCGGAAGACTCGAAGCCAACAGATGAGCACAAGAACGAGGGCTTCTTCCGTGCAGCTTGGCATAACCTGACTGGAAAACACAACGGGTTGAATAGGAAGGCCGACGAGGACAAGGATTCCGAGGAGACGAAGAAGGATGGCGAGTCCAAGAAATAGACACATGGATCTGGACTACGGTGGAGCATAGTCTTCTCACATTGTACGGTTACTCTACTGTTTCTTGAACTGTACAGTACAGCACTCGCAGGCATTGGCATTGGCGCAAGGGGGAAGATGTAGGTTATTGGGAGACTCTGCATGCATTTGTGGGCGTACCTCTTGATGAAATCCGCTTCGTTTCTTCCACTGACGTTTTTGGGACTTATATAGATGTTTGATAGTGACCCCTATCTCGACTCAGGCTTGTACAATACATAATATACTCCGTCCCCCCTGTTGGCCCCAGCGCTTACACAAGCCTCCACCGTGAAGCCTCGCGGCCCTGAGTGGCCAACCTACTCTGCGCGTCAATGGCCATTCCAATCGTGGCTTCGAGCACCTTTCGGAGCTGGGTGACGACTGGAGATGCGAAGCGGACAGGGGAGAAACGAAGCTGGCGGTTGTAGCAAAAGGAGACGGGTGTTGCTGATCTATAAGTTTTTAAAAAGCAGGCTGCTCACTGACTGCCTTTGGGGTCCCAGTGCGATCACTTGAAGCCTCGTCCCACGACTCCCTCACACGTTGCTCAGTTACCTCCGGCTAGAAAACCGCATACCTGGCGTTCAAGACCCGCAACCTCAGAACGCCTTCTGCTCCTCCCGCGCCGCCCGATTCCAACGGTGAAGGACCCACCAAGCAGCCACGCAAGCGGTCACTAACAGCAACCTTGGAACGTCACCTTCGACCCCAACACACAGATGCACATGTCTTCAGACTGCCACAAAGACCAGCCTCGTCTTTTGTGATTTCAGGTCATATAATAAATCTGTTGCTACGCGCCTTTGGTATACTCAAATATTACTTGCAACGGCCGTGCACGGGGCGGGGCATCCCACCTGCAAAGTCGCGGAGCTCCCGGCTTGTGTGACTTCACAACGCCTCCGACATAACGCTTGAGCTAGCGTTGCCTGTTCTGTTCTCCACTCCCAACGCTGTTGCATAGCCTGCGTCTCCTCATACGCTTCACCATTCAGGGCTCTGCGGAAGAAACGGTCTCTCCGCGGTGGGTGCAAGCCTGCTGCACACCCCTCCCTCATCCGCCATGACGACCCAGGTGCCCATGATCTCGGTGCCGTTGAAGCAGACAAATGAAATCGACTGGATCACGCCCTTGAAGGGATACATTCGATCCACCTATGGCGACGACCCAGAACGCTACGCTGAAGAATGCGCGACGCTGAATCGGTTGCGGCAGGACATGAGGGGCGCCGGGAAAGACAGCGCAGCTGGCAGGGACCTGTTATACAGATATTATGGGCAGCTGGAGCTCCTTGATCTGCGATTTCCGGTCGATGAACATCATATCAAGATATCCTTTACCTGGTATGCTTCTCCACGAGCATGCATGCTGCGCTTCACAGTCCTGGATTGGCGGCTAATGAGCAGCAGGTTCGACGCCTTCACGCATAAGCCCACGTCGCAGTACTCCCTAGCTTTCGAGAAAGCCTCCATAATATTCAACATCTCGGCCGTCCTCTCCTGCCATGCCGCCCACCAGATTCGGCACGAAGACACCGGTCTCAAAACCGCTTACCACTCTTTCCAAGCCTCCGCTGGAATGTTCACATACATCAACGAGAACTTCCTCCATGCGCCATCTACCGACTTGAGCAGGGATACTGTGAAGACATTGATCTCAATCATGTTGGCACAAGCACAGGAGGTCTTTCTAGAGAAGCAAATTGCAGATGGAAAGAAGGTTGGCCTTTTGGCTAAGCTAGCCAGTCAGGCGGCCTATCTGTATAATCAAGCTGTGGAGGGTGTGCAGGAGAATGTTACAAAAGCAGTCTTCGAGAAAGTTTGGCTGCTGGTCGTGCAGGTGGGTTGATATGGGTTCCCTGCTGTATGGCGCCGCTAATGTCCACGAGATCAAAGCCAGCTACATGAGCTCCCTAGCACAGTACTACCAGGCTCTCGCCGATAATGACGCAAACGCCCACGGAGTGGCCATTGCTCGGTTGCAGGTAGCTGAGACCCAGGCCAAGGACGCGAATCGCATCGCGAACGGGTTTCCGTCATCTGTGCCTACCAATTCCAATCTAACGGCAGAGGCTGGGTACGTCCTAGCCGATCTGACGAAGAAGCACGTGTCTACGATCCAGGAGAGAATCTCCGAGTTCACAAAAGACAACGACTTCATCTACCATCAGGGAGTCCCAAACGAGGCCTCCCTTACAGCAATACCCAAACTCCCTGCGGCCAAGGCCATACCCGTCAGTGAGCTGTATCATGGGCAGGATATACAGAGGATCATCGGACCCGATATCTTCCAGAAGATTGTCCCAATGGCTGTCACCGAGTCGGCCAGCTTGTACGATGAGGAGAAGGCGAAGCTGATCCGGGCGGAGAGCGAGCGGGTAGAGGTGGCCAATGATGAAATGGCAGCTAGTTTGGATTACCTCAAGCTTCCTGACAGCCTAAACATCCTCAAAGGAGGCATGGATCAGGACAACATGGTCGACGAGGACTTCAGGAAGTGGTGCGAGGAGCTGGCAGGTCATGCGCCCTTCCAAACGGCCTTCGACCGGTTGAGCGCGGATAAGGCAGAAATCACAGGCGTGCTAGACGCGAGTATGAAGCAGCTGGACATGGAAGAGAGTGTATGCGAAAAGATGCGATCCAAGTACGGAGCCGAGTGGACGCAGCAGCCCAGCTCCCGTTTAACCTCGACGCTACGGAACGATATCAAGAATTATCGCGCGGCAATCGAGGAGGCTGGCACAAGTGATGCGCAGCTATACAGCACCTTCAGGCAATATGAGTCTGATTTCGAGGAGATGAGGTCGGCCGGCGAAACCGACGAAGCCGATGTGTTATATCAGCGTGCAATGGTCAAAGCCGGAGCGCCCAAAGGCAAGAGCCCTCGGCCAGCCGAGGGTAATCTCTTGGATGAGGACTTTATTGATGGACCAACTGTTGCAGAGCAGATCGCAAACGTTGAAGAGTTGCTTAGGAGGTTGAACCTGGTCAAGAGGGAACGGGTCCAAGTGCTCAAGGACCTCAAGGAAAAGGTAATTATTCACCCTGCTCTTGAAATCACCTCATACTCACCGTCTAGGTTCACTCCGACGACATCTCAAACACGCTTATATTGAACAAGAAGGCTCTCGCAAATCAGGAGTCGCAGCTGTTTCAAGCGGAATTAGAAAAGTTCCGACCTCATCAGAACCGCATCCTCCAAGCTAACCACAAGCAAGCATCTCTGCTCAAAGAGTTGACGAGGACATATTCGGATTTACTCAAGGACAAGCGCGTACGCGCAGAGCAGAACAAGTATGAGGCCTTTTCTCGCCAGCGAAATACCGTCATGACCAAGTACCGGCGGGTATACCAAGCGTTCAATGACCTGATATCTGGGTTGATGCGGGCCCAAAGTTTCTACTCGGAGATGAAGGACACCGTCTCCAGCCTGCGCCAGAACGTGGAGACGTTTGTCAACAATCGACGCTCCGAGGGCGGGCAGCTACTCTCGAGGATTGAGCAGAGCAAGTCCGCGAGCGCTGACCAGGAGCAGCAGCGCCTGAAAGAACTCATGGAACGTATGTCCATGGATCCCTCGAGATCACCTGTATCTGCGGGAGGTGGTCGAAAACGGAGCATCCCAGCGCCCATTTCCACATCCAGTATACCCCAATCAGGATATTCCGCGCCATCCGCCCAACCTCTCTACAATCCCGCTACATCTCCCCCGGTAACACCGCGATACCCGATCACAGCCGCCCCTGGACAGCAGCCATTCATGTCTCCGGGCCAAGGCTTCCAACAACAGCACTCGAACGGCTTCCAGCCGCGTCGAGACTCGTATCAAACCACCGCATCGCAATACGCACACCAGTCGGCATCCTACAACCCCAACTCGTACGGCCCCGTCTCCCCACCTCCTCATCAGCAATTCTTCTCGCCGCCGCCGACGAATCAGACCCCGCAGCACCAACCGTGGGGTCAGGCGACTCACCAACAACAGCCATACCAGGGCGGACATGGCTCGTTACCACAGGGCTACGTGCCTCCGCCACCGCCCCCGGGTCCACCTCCGGTGCAAAGTCCGGATTACTTGCCGTACGGTGGGGCGTATCCTGCCGGGCCGGGTGGGTATGCGTCGAACCCGCGGGCGAGTCAGGGACAAGGACAAGGGCAAGGAGGAGGAGGAGGAGCAGGTGCGAGCGGGAATAATGCAGGGGCGGATCCGTGGGCGGGACTGAGTGGGTGGAAGTGAGAGGGAGTGGATGGGTCTGGATGGGAAGAATAACGGATAGGGGTAGTGTTGGACTTGAGAGAATAAGCAAAAGAAACATGTTATCGCACGTTGAGCTGGACACTGATGTGGTTCTTAGTTGGGTGATTGCAGGCATCTCGGGCAACTCGCTCTGATGATGCACATGGACATTGCAAGTCGAGGTTCTCCATGCAGCAGCCAGAGTTGCTCCTCCTCCAACCCGCCTCGAACGGAAGCAATGCAGTGCTGAGATCTCTACCCTCAAGAATGGGCATGAGGAGCTGAGATGACGGCCCTCAACGGGAAGCAATGAAGAAGAGCTGATGGCCGTTCATTGCTTATTATTATGGAATGAACCCTCATGATGGAGCTGATCTGAAACCTGCCATTTTTACTTACAGCACTGCCACCACCAGTAGAGACTATCGATTGATTCTACCAATTGATTCCCTAACTTAAAGAAATGGGGAACAAAGGAAAAAAAGAAGAAAAGAAAGAAAAGAAAGAAAAGAAAGAAAAGAAAGAGAAAGAGTGACGGCATGTGCCCCAATGCATGCGCCCGTTTTTTCTCTCTCTCCAGACACCGGCAACCAGCAAGGTCAGCTTTATCACAGTACTACACAGTATGTGATTTCCACTCGACGGCCAGCCGGCATGCCTGATCTTTCTCATTTGATCTGTACATGGCTGCTTTCGAATCGGATAGGAGGACGAGGAGTGCCTCTCAGAAAATTAAACTTAATCTAACTAGGCGCCCTCGTGTGGACAGCGGCGGCTATGGTGGTGCGGCCACATTTTTTCTTTCCCTTCCTTACTACTCGTAAGCGCCCTTTTGATAAATATGTGCCATCCTCCATGCGGAACTGGGCAGGCGGCGGCAATGCTGTATTGGCTCTCCTTGACTGTCCCGGACGGTCTCCCCCTGGCCAGCACCGAGGGGAGGAGGAATACAGTAATGCCATTGGGTGAAGCATAGACGCGCTCCCCAGCTGAGCACGGAGCCGCCGCCCGGTAGATCTCCGCCATTCGCACGGGTTCAAATTCAGAACCTCAACCGTACGAGAGGACTCTGGTGCGCGGAGCAAAAGCAATCACACGAGGTTGAAACATGTCATCTCCACTTCAAAACACAATTGGACGATCATAAACGATTGCATTGAGGCGCCACGCCTCTTGGCCCAAACCGCATGCCCAGACCCGCCATCATACGCACGAATGAATGCATCATGACATGCCCATGGCCTTGATTTTCCCTAGGTAGCCATCCACAAAACCCGAATATGTGGACGGAAAGAAGTGAAAAGAAAAGAAAGGCGTCAAAATCTGTTCGCACCGAAAGTTTTGGGTATAAAAGAAGTAAAAGATAGTCGAGAAATCCACCCCAAAACCACCCGGCCCTGAAGTTGCTGTACAATAATGTCATATTCTGTGGCATCCCCAAATGTGATGGTGCCCTTTCTTCCCTTTGTCGGTAAATGATGACGGAATTGCTTCAAAACCTCGGAGGCATCGTCCAGCGTCGCCTCCCTCACGCGGCAATGCAGTAGGCATAGTCGCGCCACAGGTTGGAGCAGGTGGAGTCGATGGAAGGATTCAGCTTTCGCAGCGTCTCGAACGTCACCGAGAGATTACTGCAGTGGTCGCCGGTCTTGACGGTGTACCAGGACTTGCAGTTCTCGGCAGCACCCGGGATTCGGGGAGCGCTGGGAGTGTCCTGGTTCGCCGGAGCATCGTTGGCGGGGAGGTCGTTGGCCGGAGGGGCAGCGGCAGTGGGCTGGTTGGTCGGAGCAGGCGGCGTGTTGGGCTTGTTGTTGTCGTCCTGGGCCGGAGACTTTTGGACGGGGGTGATCTGGATGGGGGAGCCACTGCCAGGCGCCGGGCACTGACGTCCAGATGCGACACCGGCGTAGGCAGTTGCGGAACCCTGAACGGAGCCGATGCTCTCCTCCTTGCAGGCCGAAGGATGCTGGGCATCGCTATTCCAGCCCACGAGGCGGTTGGCAATGTCGGAAGCATAGCAGTGGGTGGCAATGCCCTCGCCCAGGTTTCCCGAGGCGGCGATGGAGCCAGAGTTGTAGGTGCGGGAGGCGCGGTAGTACCTGGAGGCGTCCTGGGCGCCGGACACTTGGGCGACGGCCTGCATCAGGCCAAAGGGCATGTCGATGCCAGCACCTTCCCTGACCATGAGGTCAATGGTGGCCTTGGGGCAAGGGAACTGCTTGTTGACGTTGTCCGGGTTGCAGGAGCCCCTTCCGTTGAAGGACTGGAAAAGGCCGGGATTGTTCTGGCCATAGTTTGTGGTGGGAGCACGGGGGCAGCCCTTGGACTCCTGCATCATGACGACGAGGAGATAGCGGGCATCGAGGCCACTGTCTTTAGCGGCCTGGATGATGGCAGCCTTCATGTCGTCCAGCTCGCTCTGGACGGGGTTCTCAGCACCAAACTGCGAGCACGACGTCTTCATGACTGGCTCGTTGATTGTCCTAAACAGTCAGAGTCCAGTCAGCCAGCTGCGTGGACGGTGAGGGAAGAAGGATAGGATGGGGTCGACTCACCAGAGCTCGTCGAAGCAGAGCCAATCGTCAGTGCTAGGCCATCCCTGAGTCAGGGAGCCGTCGCCGCCAAAGAGTTGGTAGGAAGTGGCCTGCCTGCGGACGACGGGGGCAGCGAAGGCAAGCGAGGCGATGCTGCTAGCAGCAAGAAGAAGTGAAGTGGTGTACATGTTGGAGGGTTGGGAGAATGCTCTTGTTCGTAGAGGAAGAGGTAGTTGGTTGTGTGGGAAGGTTTGAGAGTGTCGCGACAAGGATGGATTGGCTGTGTGTACCGAAGAAGGGTCACAGGTGAAGGAGTGAATGACCAGCACTGCTGGGAGGGAGTGAAGAAGAAAGAGAAGGACGGGGGAAGAAAGGAATGTGCAGCAGGCAAGCCTACGGGGAAAGAAAGAAAGAACAGTCGCGGACGGGGTGAAGGGGAAAAGAGAACAGGTGGGTTGAACGGGACCCCACTCCGGAATATATAGAGGTAGATATTAGGGTGCGGCGTAGACGCGGCTTCCCGAAATGGCAGCCATGGTTGGCGGTTCCAAGATTGGCGCCACACGTGCCTGGCTGGAACAAACAGCGGAAACAGCAGGAGCGCCGCGGGGCTCCAGGTGCCGCCAGCCGCTGGCTGCACGAGGCCCTGGGCCGTATCCACGGATTAGGGGTGGTGGTGGAGGGAGGTGGTAGATATGATGATTTTACCCTGTTCGGTGAATGGGCCAACCCTGGACGAGTACTCCACTTTAATTCTAGGCTGCGGGTACCTTTTTGTGCCTATTCCCGTCATACTAGCCTAGCCAGGGGGAATGGACGCCCGACCAATCAAAGCCATGACAGTAAGAAATAGTCGGGAACCTGCAAGTCGGAGCACTCAGCCTGAGAATCACCCGCCGCATGACGACCTGCAGGCGAAGAAGAACGACAGCCCACAGCCCTTCTTATTTTCATAGTCTCAATAATGAAAGGAAAGGACACTTTGCTCGACGAGCTGAGGCTGCCAATTGCTTGAATCCAACATGCACATGCCAGAGCACCGAGTAGACGGCGCCTTGTAGACGCCCGGTGGCCCCGCGCCCGCCTTTGCCCCGCCGCCTTCCCCGTGCGAAAGGAGGGACATGTCCAACAAAAAGAAGACATGAGCGGCAGCTTTCATTCATTCATTCATTCATGCCAACAAGGGCACCGGTCAAAGCAAATGACCATGATTGTCCTGTCGGCGTTTCTTTCTTCTTCTGCTCTACGGGGCCGCAGCCAAAAGAGGGCTGCGTGGTCTAGAATAATGAGACCCGGCATGAATGCGGCAAACAACCCAGAGACGGCTTCTTTTTTTCAACATGCATGCAAACAGCTGCGCCTGCGCCTGGCTGGCAATTCGCTCACCTCCGAAACTAGCTTCGCTTTCTTCTGGAGGTGACCTGGCCTCAGCCCATCTGCTGCACTCTCTCCGAATCCGTATTCCGAGCTGGTGCTCAGGTGTAATCGAGCTGGCGTGCCACAGCCACATTGCGGCTACTGTGTGGCGCACGCCTTCCCTTCTGGTTTCAGAGCTGTGTGCTGGTGCTGCTGCTTGACTCGGCCATTCTGCCGATTCGTTGGACCTGAGCCGACGCACTTCGTACAGAGAGAATCTCCGGAATACCCGAAGTCGTATCACTCTCGTTCCGCACACTGCTCAGCTCCAGCCAGCTCCAGGAGTGGTGGGTGGGTGGCGACGACAGAGATTGCCCAGAACCATCTCTGAAAGCGGCACGTCGTTTCAGGTGTGTATTCACTCCAAGTACGGCTCCTCGACATGTCATTCGCCAATCCACTTCACGGCTGCCCGCCAATCAGCTCTCCCATCCCCCCTCCCGCTTCATCACACGAAACATGAAACACTACTACCATATGCGGTACTGTGTGCGCGCGGCTGGCTAAATAATATGACATGACATGTCACTGGTGAGGTGCAATGCTACCTAAACGCTAGGTACCAGAGAGAACACGCAATCCCTCAACAGGAAGTCATGATTCACTATTGACCATTATTGTTGAAACTTGAAAGAGGTCCAACCGCCCGCTACGTGCCCCAACTCATCTCATCAGCACCCTGAATTTTAAGCTTTTTTATTACCCGCCCCCTGTGCTGACTTCAGCACTTTGCATGTCGTGCCTCGTTTGCTGGACAGGAGATCACCCAGCAACGGAGTGACATCCGGGGTTGACGTCAAATGCACCAAACGTGCGGAGAAAGCTTGTGTGGGACGGACGGGGACTGGATTTGCAGATAGATATTCCTTCCTTCCTTTTCCCTTTCCCAAAAAGCTCTTGCCCAACATGTCTACCATATCCAAGCCAACATGGAACTGCCCAGGTGGAAAGAAAAAAAAAAAAAGAAAAAGAAAAAAGGAAAAACAAACGATATCACGTTAACACATCCTCTTGACGAATGTGACAGAGGTGACTAGAAACCAGAGAGTGCCGAGGAAGCCAACACAGACACACAATCATCCACACCATCTCTGACCAAGGAACAACAGCGAAAACGAGACAGATCACGTCACCCATCGCATCCTCCGCATCTTCCAAACATTGAACGCAGAGATGCCCATGGCAGAGGTGACTTGGCACTGAAACGCCTGGCCCCCCTTAGCTGGAGGCCACCGACGTCGAGGGAGGTGCCTCTCCTGCACCGAGGGCGCGGAAGCCATCCGGTGTGATGTGAACCGCACCCGCCTGCACCAGCTGCATCGAGCCGTTAGCCTCCACATGGACTGGCAATCAATGGGGCGTGCACGCAAAAACTCACCGCTCTGCTCAGGTCGTCAATCAAATCATCCACGTCCTCGATTCCAACACACAGGCGAATAATGTCCTCGGGCAGATTCCTCTCCCTCCGCGTCTTCTCGTCAATGCTGGCATGGCTCATGCGGCACGGCATGCTGATGAGCGAGTTGACGCACCCAAAGCTCACCGAAATGGCCCACAGCCTCGCCGACTCCACAATGCGCTCCGACACGGCCACGTCGCCCGTCTCAAAAGACAGCACTGCGCCTGCCCCACGCGCCATGCTCCAGTGGAGCTCGTACTGTGGGTGCGACTTGAGCCCGGGGTAGCGAACCTTGAACCCGTGCGACTCGAGGAATTCCGCGATGCGCTGGGCATTGGCCTGCTGCTTCTCCATGCGCACCCCAAGCGTCTTCACCCCTCGCAGAAGGAGCCAAGAATCAAAAGGCGACAGACCACATCCGGAGGCGTTGATGGTGAAGTACAACTTCTCCCCCAAGGCCACGTCGTTGATGGCAATAACGCCGGCCATCAAATCGTGGTGCCCAGAAAGGTACTTGGTACCGGACTCATATACAATGTCCGCACCCAGATCGAGAGGGTTTTGCAGCAGAGGAGACAGCATCGTGTTGTCGACTGAGACAAGCGCCGAAGGATTCTTGTCGTGGACAATGGTGGCTATTGAGGGGATATCCACGATCTTGATCAGCGGGTTGGTCGGCGACTCCAGCAATACCAGCGTCGTCTTGTCGCTTGCCACTGCGCGCACTGCCTCGGGATTCGTCGTATCGACGTGATGTACAATGATGCCTCCGTGTACAGAGAGGTACTTCAACAGCCGGTTCGTCCCACCATACAAATCGTCTCCTGTAATGACCTCGTCGCCGGGCCGCAGCAGGCGCGTTATGACATCGAGGGCACCCATGCCAGAAGACACCACCAGAGCGCGATTCGCATTCATAATCTTTGCCAGATGTCGTTCCAGATGGGTGCGTGTGGGATTGCCCGAGCGTGTGTAGTCGTACTCTTCGCCGCCTCCGGTGGCCGAGTTCTGTTTGAACGTCGCTGACTGCGCCTTGTCAATTTACCAACCCATAGCAAATCGCGCAGTCGACGAATCTGGTAGGTGGGGAGGGTCGGGCTGTACCTGATAAATAGGCACACTGCTTGCGTTGTACTGGTCGGAGCCCTCGGTATACACCAGCTCCGTCATCAATGCATATTTCCGGCCACCGCGCGGTGAACTGGGCGCCGGAGAGGGCGGTAAATCGTGGCCATTGATGTCGTGTGCGGTAAAGGCCCTGCCCATGGCATTGGCCTTGCCCTTGAGGCTCCCCGTGGAGGAGGCACTGGCCATGACGTTGCTCGTTCGGAGGGGCAATGAATGTGCCGGCAGGAAGGGCGAGGCGGAAGGAAGAACGCTGCGCTCTCGGACGAAAAGAACGAGGAACAGGGAGGGAGGAAGGAGACGAAAGGGAAGAATGAAGGACGAAGATGCAGATGATATGGGGACTGGTGTTGCAGGTATTCCCCGTGGTGTGTACTGTATGTACCTACATAGATTGTGTCCGGCGGGGAGCGGAGTCACCGCTAGAATGGCGCAATCGGACCCTGGTCCAAGAAACCCCGGCAGCGCCACCACCACGGCAATTGGAGGAGATGCGGATTCTTGCGTAGACTACAAAGTGTACAGTACTTGTGTATATCGAAACGAGACTTTTTCAACTGCCTACTGGGTCAGTACGGAGTATATGCACGGGTATTAATAATAATAATAACAATAATAACAGCGAAACTGCTCGCTCGACGACGCCAGCAGCCAAAGCAAAGACCAACGCCGACCTGCTCCCGCCCGTCCCTTTGCGCCGATAGAAAACCGCCATGCTCCAAACCCAACTGCCATAGCACCCTAGATTGCTTCCCCCAAGAACTGGAGCATGATGCTTGAACACAACACCAATAATGTCAGCCCAATCGCGCTGACCCGTTATACGTCTTCCAGATACAGTCTGCAGCCATCTGCACCGTCTCACCGGGGCTTCACGGCGGGGAAGCTTCGCCTCTCCTGCACATTGATGGGGAACTCGAAGATGCCCTCTGTCGTCCCACAGTACAGTGTGCGCCCGTCCTGGCTCATGGCGAGTCCTGCCGTCCTCAGCCCGTTGGCGGGATCGTGCGAACTGCGGGTGCCAGCACGATAGGAAACTTGCAGGAAGCTCTCGAAAGGCTCGTCAGCCTGACGCACACTCCGTAGCCGTTCGCGCATTTGTGTCAGTTGCCGGACACGCCGTTCAGTTCGAACATCCGCAGCGGCAGCAGCAGCGCTACGCCCCGTAGAATCGCCGCCCCGAACTGTGCGAGCCAGTGCTTCTTCGATGGTGCGCCATGCCTCATCCGTCGAAGACACCATCTGCGCCTCTAGTCTTCGGAGGTGAGTCGATATCAAATTGGGCGAGCCCTGCCCGGAACCATCATGTGTACTGGTCGTCCTCGACGGCTCCGTAGCGCTGGTCGGAAGCCTCAGTAGATCATGCTGCGGGGACCGCCGAGCCAGCACGTTGATTTGCGCAAGCAACCGGTCCTCGTTGGCCCTCCTGGAAGCTGACTCCTCCCCCTCAGAATGGGAATTGACCTGCGGTGGCTGCGGTAGTAGTTGTGCTAGTCCTGGGCTCGAACTGCGGTAATGGATACTACGTGGTGCAATCCCAGTCTCGGTACCCGCTTCTCTTTCTCTTGTGCTCCGAAGAGCGTCTATAATCTGGCGTTCTTCAGCAGTAAGCCCATGCGGGTCGTCATCAGAATCCACGACGCCCAGCCGTCGATGTAGCCGGCGTCGTTCTGTAGAGGCTGCAATGTATTCCGCCGCGAAGTTGACAGCAGCCGCCGCCCCTTCATTGTCCAGAGTCAGATGATATCTCCTTAGAAATTCGGCTTCTCGTTGCAACGCCTCGAGTTCGGGCATGAGCGACGTGTCAAAGTCGGAAACATCTAACCGCTCAAGCCCATCCTGTTTGGGATCCAGCGTGAGCACCTGTTTAACCTTGAGGTTGGATCGCAAGTCAGCCACGCATACACGGGCCTGGTCTTCGCTCCAGATCAATAAATCCCATGGGGCAGGAGAGAACTGCATGGTCCGTACCGAGCCTGGTCCGTTGTGCACATCGGGCCGGGTGGAGCTGAGCTTTTGAACCACCGAATCCTCCGGGAATTCGCAAATTTTGAGCAGTTCCACATCGAATACGCTAATGTAGCCACACTCGGATCCAACGGCGCACAGACGCCCTGAGGGTGACCACGCTGTGGTGAAATATCCTTCATTGAGTGAGGCCGGCGGAACGTAGAGGCGAACCTCCTGAAGAAGTGACCATTGGGGTTCAATGTCTCCACTGACATGGCATCTCGTGGATCCGGATTTCGGTGGTTTGCTTTTCTGGAAAAAGAATGCGATGCTCCGATCACCGACCGCCACCAAGAGCTGCCCGTCAGGAGAGATGGTGCCATGGTTCATAGGAAAAGGAAGATCAAGCACTGTGATTTCCAGACCTCTGGTGAGGGAGTATATGCGTACGGTCTTGTCATTATTCGTCAGGACCGCAACCACGTCCTTCGGCCTGTTCCCTCCAAGCATGTATTCGTGGATGGAGATGGAATTGACAATGTCTTCCCCTATCTTTTCAAGCCTAACTCGTTCCGCTGTAACAAGAGTTGTCGGAGGGCAATGTGTCGTTGCGCGACTGGCGAAGCCGAGAGGTAACGAGGCGTCCACATCTGTGGAGCCTGAAGGCGGGAACCTCTTGACCTTGATGGCCGCAAAGTTGCCATGGTCCGCGCCTGCTACGCACACATAACCATGGCCAGAAGCGGTACAGCGAGCCTCCCAAGGCAGCGTGGTCAGATGTACTTGGGTTTTGGCGGCGACATTTAGGCAGTAGACTTCGGTGCCGCTAGCGTAGTAGATGAGGTCCTGTTCCGGGGAGCTGATGTAATGCCGCAGCTGGTAGTGAGCAATAGGGATCTTTACGGGGTAGAGTGAGGTGGCGGGAAGCACAAAGGCGTCGGTATCGCAACACCTGCGCCAGTTAGCTCACTGTGCAAGCTTCGTGGATCGTCGGATACGAACGAGAAGTCGTCCACAGCCATGCTATAAGATTAAAAAGGAATGTACCGCTTTACGCATGTCCCACAGTTGTGGTTGTGGTTGTGTTGAGGGCGAAGTTGAGGGCGACGTTGAAGGTACGATGAGGGGAGGAGGCGCAATACGTCAGATTAGGCGGAGTAGTCTCGATGGTGTCTGGAACGCTACGGAACGATAGGGCGGCACGACAGCTACGGAGCGGAGCGCGAACCGAATAGTGGTACGGTCAGACATAGGAGATGGAGAGGGAGGAGCTTGAGCTGGCCGCGCCCTCTTCACGCGGCGCAGTGTTGTTCTGCTCCACGGAACCGACAGCTCGCTCTCCTCTGGCTTGATTCTCAAGCTGTCGCGGGCAGTGGTCAAGGGAATTACACAACGGCCAGAGAAACGCGGATCGACTTGTACGGCGATGGCTTCCAGAGCCGGTCGGTCACAGCAAGGGTCAGAGTATGTGTAGGTGGCGCTCAGGTGCAGCCGTGGGAAGAGGTGAGGAGCTGGAGGTGTTGAAGTATGCGAATGCGGCGCTGTGAAGCGTCGATGACGGGGTCTCAAGTGCGACTGACGCACGGACCGCCAAATTCTCTTGGCACTCTTTCCCTCGGCGCGCAGAATCTTCGGCGGCACTCGGCGCCGGGACGTTGCCATCTCTCTTCTGTGCTCCAGAAACTTCTCCTGCCAATAGCTCCAAATTTTTCTCACCTCGATATAATAACACACCCCTTCCCATCACCATTCCATATCTCCATCGCTGTGCTTCATTCTTGCTTGCTCTTCTCACCAGCAGCATCTCCTCAGATACCCCCACACAATGTTGTCTTCAAGATTATCACGATCCGTAAGTATCTGCACGCCCTCGAACTCTTGGTCGCCGACTGACCTCATAACCCCAGATCCTGCCCCGGGCAACTGCTGCTGTCCGACGCGCCCCTGCCATCAAGTCCACATATGGGTCGACGTTTGTGCGCGGATATGCTGAGGAGAAGGTGAAGGGTGCCGTCATCGGTATCGATTTGGGTACCACCAACTCCGCCGTTGCTGTTATGGAGGGCAAGACGCCTCGCATCATCGAGAACGCCGAGGGTAGGTCTCGCGCATCATCAATTCCATTGCAATCTCCATTCTAACGTATACCCAGGTGGACGGACAACTCCTTCCGTCGTCGCCTTCACCAAGGATGGCGAGCGTCTCGTCGGTATTGCCGCCAAGCGCCAGGCTGTCGTCAATCCTGAGAACACCCTCTTTGCCACAAAGCGTCTCATCGGTCGCAAGTTCACCGATGCCGAGGTGCAGCGTGACATCAAGGAGGTCCCTTACAAGATTGTTCAGCACACCAATGGTGACGCGTGGCTTGAGGCGCACGGCCAGAAGTACTCGCCATCCCAGATTGGTGGTTTCGTGCTCGGAAAGATGAAGGAGACGGCCGAGGCTTACATGGGCAAGACCGTCAAGAACGCCGTCGTCACTGTCCCCGCCTACTTCAACGACTCGCAGCGTCAGGCCACCAAGGATGCTGGCCAGATTGCCGGTCTCAACGTGCTCCGTGTCGTCAATGAGCCTACCGCCGCAGCTCTTGCTTACGGCCTGGATAAGTCCAACGACAACGTTATTGCTGTTTACGATTTGGGAGGTGGTACGTTCGATATCTCCATCCTGGAGATCCAGAACGGCGTTTTCGAGGTCAAGTCTACCAACGGCGATACACACCTCGGTGGCGAAGACTTTGATATCACTCTCGTCCGCCACCTGGTTCAACAGTTCAAGAAAGAGCAGGGCATCGATCTGAACAGCGACCGCATGGCGATCCAACGTATCCGTGAGGCGGCCGAGAAGGCCAAGATTGAACTGTCTTCGTCCCTTCAGACGGACATCAATCTTCCCTTTATCACCGCCGATGCGTCGGGACCCAAGCACATCAACTCCAAGCTGACCCGTGCTCAGCTTGAGAAGTTGGTTGATCCTCTGATCTCCAAGACTGTCGAACCTGTACGCAAGGCCCTCAAGGATGCTAACCTCCAGGCCAAGGACATCCAGGAGGTCATCCTGGTCGGTGGTATGACGCGTATGCCCAAGGTTACCGAGTCGGTCAAGAGCATCTTCGGGCGCGACCCTGCCAAGTCGGTCAACCCCGATGAGGCTGTCGCCATCGGTGCTGCTATTCAAGGTGCTGTCCTTGCTGGTGAGGTCACTGACCTCCTCCTCCTCGACGTTACTCCCCTTTCTCTCGGTATTGAGACCCTTGGTGGTGTCTTCACCCGTCTCATTAACCGTAATACCACCATCCCCACCAAGAAATCCCAGATCTTCTCTACCGCTGCCGACTTCCAGAGCGCTGTCGAGATCAAGGTTTACCAGGGTGAGCGTGAGCTCGTCCGTGACAACAAGCTCCTTGGAAACTTCCAACTCGTTGGAATCCCACCTGCCCACCGTGGTGTTCCCCAGATTGAGGTCACTTTCGACATCGACGCCGATTCCATTGTCCATGTCCATGCCAAGGACAAGTCCACCAACAAGGATCAGTCCATCACTATTGCCTCTGGTTCCGGCCTTTCGGAGGCCGAGATCCAAGCCATGGTTGATGATGCTGAGCGCTATGGCGAACAAGATAAGGAGCGCAAGAATGCTATCGAGGCTGCAAACCGTGCCGACAGCGTTGTGAACGACACCGAGAAGGCCCTGAAGGAGTTTGAGGACCGTCTGGACAAGACCGAGGCCGAGAAGATCAAGGAGAAGATCACCGCGCTCCGCGAGTTCATCTCTCAAAGCCAGGCTGGCGAGGGCACTGCCACCGCCGCCGAGATCAAGGAGAAGACCGACGACCTCCAGAACGCCAGCCTGACCCTCTTCGACCAGATGCACAAGGCTCGTGAGTCTGCCGGCCAGGGCGAGCAGCAGCAGCAGCCCGGCGAGGGCGAAGGCGAGAAGAAGCAGTAAAAAGCAGTGGCTTGTAGCTTTGTCCTTCGTCATTACCTCTGGTCTTGTTTTACTCCGGCACAAAATTAGGCGTCCATGTTTGCATTCCGGTCTGGGTCGGGTCCTTTAGACGTGTACTTTTCCTTGTAGCTATACCTTTTCACTTCTGGTACCACTTCGCCTCTCCTGCCCATGTCTTAGTACCACCTAGTACCCTTTAGTCGAGCTTTTCCGTCCGTTTCTTGGTTATGTCTTTATACGCAAGCGGTGGAGTCTACAGTCAGGCAGGATGAGGCGCGAAACCAAACATCTAAAAGCCAGATGGTTAATCTCCTGTAAGATTGGGATTTGGCGGGAGTCAAGGAGAAGATATTCATGTATTATAGTGTAGAACGTTGCTACGTAACGCCACAAAGGGTGGTCAATGTCAGTTTCTCCTCCGCTCTCAGCTTGGGAATGTTCCTTTTTCTGGACGTGGTATGTTGCAAATGAATGGTATGTACCGGCTCAGTGTGGTTATCGGCCTTGTGTGGCCTTGTGTATCGAACACCCCATACTCCCGCGGTGAAGGCGTTGAACACGGTTCAAGAATGGACAGAGGCCCGGACGGTGAAAAAGGAGGGGTCAAGTCGCCACGACTTCCGTCTCGTTTAACAACTACTATGAATAACCGCTCGGTGAGGCTAGGAATAAAAGCACGTTGGGCTCACTCCCAGCCCGAATACATGCCGCTCGTGCGAACAGAAATCCACCAGGAGCAAACCAGCCTTTCCCGTCACCTTACCCGCTCCCTTTCCCATCCATTCTGAAGTCCTTCAATGCAATTCCACTAAACGGAGCCAGCTTTTCAATGTCATACCCCTCACGAGGACCCAGAAATCTCACAGACCATTCTCCGCCCTGCAGCTGCCTCGTCCCCTGACAGGAGACGACAACCATCACCCGCGCTACCGGTATCGCAGCCCACCTACGAGTTCAGATAATTCCGTATCGCGCCTTGTAGCCTCGACGCGCCTTCGCCGAGCAGCTGCGTCACGTTTTCCAGGTCGTCACCGGCCGTGATGCCGAACCGACGTACAAAGTCCTTCGCGGCGGACTCTAGGTCGCCGTAATCGTCTTCAGGGACATCGTCCTCGGGGCGCCCGAAATAGGCATTGGACGAGATGGCCGAGGCGCCTTCGAAGCCTACAATGATCGTTAGGTGCTCTGTTGTCCCGAAAACAGGTCCTGAGTACCCACCCTGCAACCTCTCCCTCGCCTCCTTCGAAGCTTGCGGGTCGTAGGCATTCCGGCCGAAGAACTCATCACTGGAGATGCCCTTCTGCGATCCAAATTTCTCGCGTGCATAGCGTTCGCTATCGTCCTCTTGTGCGGACTTGCTCACGCTCCCGAAGCCACCCATCTTCTTAGGAGCCGCCGCCTTCTTCGCAGCACCAACCTGCCCAAATCCAAGACGTCCGATGCCCATACCCAACCTCTCCATTTCCGCGCTACTTCGCTCTGGCTTAGTAGACCCGAAGCCGCCGCTTCGAGGCGGAGAAACCGGCGTAGGTGAAATGACAGGGGCGCTGGTGGTGGACGACGCGGCTTTTGATACGGTTGCTGCTTCGGCAGCTTCGGCGTCGGGGTCATATCCAAGCTTCTCGATACGTTCAGCCTCTTCGCGGGCTTTGCGCTCGGCCTCCTCGAAATCCAGACCGTCGCCTGCCACCACCTTTTTCGCGCCGAGACCCTTCTTCTTCGCTCCTAGGATATTCTTCTTGGGAGCAGCGCCTGTTGCGGTTTTCCGAATCGCAGGTTTGGCGGCCGGGATGGCGGCGGGCGTCACCGGCTTGGAGGAGTCTGCAGCAAGCGGCGACTTGGGCCGTGCGGTCCCATTGCCGTTCGCATCGGGCTTCAGGAAGGGGGATGCGGAGCGCGGTGTACCTGTTCGGGAAGGCGGGTTTGAAGGACGCTTGATCGCGGGCTTGTCCCACGACGAGAAGAAGTCATCTTCATTCTCGCCGGTGGGAGTGTTGCTGTCCGAGCCTGTGGCATCTGGGACATCGGTTATTACAACTTCGTTAGGGAACCTTGATCAGTTTGTCAGTCGAAAAGTCAACGAACATTTGGGTAGTAGCAACATACTGCCTTGCATCCGCTGCACAGCGCCTTGCCAGCTCCTCTTTGTACTTGGTTGCGGCATTGCTCGTGTACTTGGTCTTCGGGTCCTTGCTAGCCAGGGCCGCAGAGCCACCATGTGTTTGGAAGTACTTCGTGGCGCTCTCATTGCCGCCGACCTTCATGATCCGAAGCTGATCCCATTGCCAGACTGCCCGCCGTCAGTCACAGACTCTGGATGCTTCTCCTTGGTCATGAACGTAACATACTGTCGAGGTTCGTGGATCGCACAAAAGAGATGTGCACGCCCAGGTTCCTATGGTTCGCCGAGCAGTCGAGACACAGATAAATGCCAAAGGGAACGGACGACCACGTCGGGTTCTTTGCGCCGCAATCGAAACATATCTATCCAGGCCATCAGCCAGACCGCCTCCGTGTCCGCAGTCGCTCCAACGCACCTTGTTCGCGGGCTTCGCCTTTAATTTGGCAAAGATGATTTGCGACTGAGTCTTCGTCGCGAGCGCCATGGTGCCTGGCTTTAGGAATAGTAGACGCCGGTGCCCGGTGCTGGTCAGAGAAAAAGGAGGGAGGGAGGTGGGCATCAACATTCATGCTGGCCTTTACCCACATCACGTGTGAGGCGCTTCGGCCAGCAACGCCACTTTGGGAAGCCAAGCCACCAGCGGGGTGGCCGAGCCTCATCAGCCAACAACATGGACAGAGTAGTAGTAACTATCTCTGAGAAAGCACACATAAATCCACCGAAAGCGAAACTTTTTATTGCCCGAAGGTACGCGTGAATCCATTTTTGAAGTGTATACCGCCGGTTGAGACCTTAACTTCAGAAACTTCAGCTCTTTCAGGAGGACTCCGCCACCATTCAAAGGCGACTATGTTGTGCTCGACGTTGAACATGCCCTTGTGATAATGGGTTCCCATTATCCTCCATCATCAAACTGGATTGGCTCAGGTCCTGCAATCTCGGTACTGAGGAAGAAGGTGAACAACATGACTCCGGAGATTAGAAGCATCCTGAGAGTCCAATACAAGATGTTTCCCAGACTGCATCGTCTCCTCCACCTCTTCCGTCCTGACTCCAGTTCTTTAAGTCCACCATCGACAACCCTGTCCTTGGACAGTAACCATGAGTCGATTCCCGCAACACTTGCAAGCCACGCGGCCATATACCATACGGAGAGATGGATCAGCGACCCCAGCGGGATCATACCGAAAATCCATATTAGAAACAATCGGCTACGAAGAAGCTGGGAGATTCCGAGGAAGTTTTGCAGCAGAGTCAAGAAGTATAATGCAAAAGCAGCCACCAGCAGTATCTGCAAGATGAGAAGCAATATAAGGTCCTCGTACCAAGCATAGGAAGGGAATGAACCATATGGATATTGTGGTAGGCGGATGCGTTTCGATTGTCCGCCTTGCGGCATATTCATGGCAGTGCTGCGACGGGATGGCGACGGGGGTGCTACTGGTGCCGCTTCCGGTGATCCGGCCAGCTGAGCAGAAACAGTAGACGATGACATACCGCCCGGCGGCCCTGGAGTTGTGGTCCCCTCCTGGTGGTTCGAGGTGTTTTCTTCTCTAGCTTTCTCACCCACCATTCGTCTTCGGTGGGCCTCTTCTACTGCTTTTGCGTCATTGTCGTAATAAGCCTGAATCATCGATAGAATGGGCAGTAGTAATAGAATCAGCGGCAGCGTCTGTCCAAAGGTCCAGTAATCTTCTTCAAGAACCTCGGGGTTCGCTCCGACGTCGTGTCCATCAACATCATTACTGACAGACGCGCGGGTTGCCCATAGCTTGATGGTACCCCATGACATAGCAAACGCCAGCCAAATAATCTCCAGCAGCATCGATTCCAGTATGTCGAAGAGTGCGCGCATGGTTGCAAAGCAGGCAAAGACCAGAAGATAGGGCAGTATAGCGCCGGCGGATCGTAAACCTTTGCGTGAGGCATGCCGTTCAAGTTCATGGAGAAGGCGCTTTACAATGGAACCTGGCCAGGACCGGAAGCACTTTCGAGTGCATTGGGCTGTGGGATCAAACTGTCTAATGATGGTATGCAGGTAGGACAAACCTACTACCAAGACCGAAACCACCATGGACCATATCTTTGGACCGCCGTTAGGATTGAACCGATCCGTCCCCATTTGCAAATAGAAACATTTGGCAGGCAGGCTTGGATAAAAGCCCCCTCCTCCCGGATACAGGTTCAGCCAATTGTGACTTCCAGTCGGTAGGAGTGCTACAATTAGCATGCAGGCCATGACCAGCATGAGGATAATTCGAACAGCGCGTAGCGTCCGATTCGCCTGGAAATAATCCTGCAGAAATGTCATGGCAGCCAGAAAGCTGAAGGACGCGAACCAGGCAACATAAACCATCATCTGCCAATGGTATGCTGACAGTCCACAATTCAGCTGTGAATAACCGGCTATTAGAAACGATAAGCCTGTTACTAGAGTTGTGTCGCTGATGATCAACACGGCTTTCTCGAGTGCATATTCGAATCGTTTGCTGGGTTTCCACGACCGCGTATGCTCCCGGAGGTACGTTAAGATGCCGCAATCTACCACGTTGACATATTGCCTCCCGTGTGGACCTTTTTGGTGGAAATCGTAGACGGTGATGTAATGCAGGACTAGGAGGACGAGGGAGAGATAGGCGGTTATCGAGAACCCGAGAGTGACCTAGGAGATGTGAGATGCGTGATCTGGAGCAGGGATATTGTTGAATAGATGCATACACCAATGCCAGACAGCTCGGGGTTGGGGTTCAAATGCGGGACGTCTTTGAGTATTGTAAGATTGCGCAAAGCTAGCCAGCCACAATCGGGCTTTTGGCAATGGTCAACACTCTCGCCTACAGCCATTTTCGTCCATTGTCAGTCCGTATCTGTACGGAGCTAGCTCTTCGACTCTTCTCAATTGCTGGGAGCAAAGGATGACTCGGTTGATGGCGCCGTTGGTGGAAAGTACGAACAGTGAGTGGCAACGTAGGCGGAACCGCACCAGATGCCATCAATATGGTGTGCTTCCACAGATGTGGACAAAGAAAATCGGCTTTCTACATTCCTCGATGGTGAGAAGACGGCAAGTCGCTGCTTTCGGACTACGACCAAGCATGCATGCGATGCGGCCAACAGAATAGATGTAATCTGAACTGGGAACGACAAATTCTTGGAACGTTAGTTAGGGAAGTGAAGGCAATATTTACGTACTACCAGTATACGGCAGGTAGATGAAGAATGCAGGCTTTACAGAGCCTTTCTCCCTAAGTAGGAACGAAGCATTGAATATATGCAGATCGGCACGTTACGTTACGCATGACCGAGGTGACGTAGCAGCAATGGCTGGCATGGCAGCAGTCTACTGTGTAGTTCTACTAGTCTGGCCTCCAGCGACCATGTGGCGGTGCAGGGAAGATGGCTTGTAAGGATCCCGAGGTTCTTCCGGATGAAATTGGCAATGGAAGCGGTGAACGGTGAGGGCACGGACCGATGCCAAGAGTTCAGGGCTCAATATTTTTGAGACTTTATTATCGATAGCCTCCTCCGGCGGCGACAAGCTGCGACGACCACACGACCGTCAATATCATCTTTCTACAGCCGCAGCCATGAAGACGCAGTGGAAGGATATCCCGGTGGTGCCGACCAGCCAGGAGTTTTTGGACATTGTCCTCTCCCGAACGTATGTCCCGCGCTCGTCGAATCGCTGTTGTGCGGGGGTCTAACTTGGGTACAGACAGAGACGACTGCCCACGCAGATCCGAGCGGGCTTCAAGATCAGCCGTATTCGAGCCTTCTACACCCGCAAAGTCAAATATACCGCAGATACCTTCACCGAGCGATTGTCCGCCACCATCGAGGGCTTCCCCCGCCTCCAGGATATCCACCCTTTCCACCGTGACTTGCTGAACACACTATACGATGCAGAGTATGTGGATGAACTTCAAGTTGGACGATGTTATGCTGAGACACACAAAACAGCCATTTCCGCATCGCCTTGGGACAGTTGTCCACCGCCAAATCTCTCATCGAAGCTGTTGCTCGTGATTATGTGCGTCTGCTCAAATATGGACAGTCTCTGTTCCAGTGCAAGCAGCTCAAGCGAGCGGCTTTGGGACGGATGGCCACAATCTGCAAGCGTCTGAAGGATCCCTTGGTCTATCTCGAGCAAGTCCGGCAGCACTTGGGCCGTTTGCCATCCATCGACCCTAATGTGGGTGCCTCAAATCTGTGCTTTGGGCGAAGCTTACGAATTCATAGACTCGCACATTGGTCATCTGCGGCTATCCCAATGTCGGAAAATCTAGCTTCCTGAAGAACATCTCCAGGGCTGATGTCGACATTCAACCGTACGCTTTCACAACAAAGTCCCTGTTCGTGGGACATTTTGACTACAAGATGTATGGCTGCCGCGCCGATAATGATCTATGGAGCTAACGATCTTCAGGCTGCGTTTCCAAGCCATCGATACGCCCGGTATCTTGGATCACCCGCTCGAGGAGATGAACACCATCGAACATCAGTCCATCTGCGCGATTGCTCATCTGCGAGCCGCTATCCTCTACTTTATGGATCTCTCAGAGCAGTGCGGTTACTCTGTTTCTGCTCAGATTGCTCTCTTCCACTCCATCAAACCCCTTTTCGCCAACAAGCTTGTTTTTGTCGTCATCAACAAAATCGATCTAATGAGACCCGAGGATCTCGACCCCTCTGTCCAGGAGCAACTGCAGGGCATGCTCAAAGAGGGTGAAGTCGAGCTTCTCCAGCTCTCCTGCACCACGACGGAAGGTGTCATGCAGGTGCGGAATTCGGCCTGTGATCGTCTCCTTGCTGTGCGTAATGCGGAAAAATTGAAGGCGGGCACAAACAGCGCTGGAGAACCTACTGGACGCTTGGCTGAGCTTTTGCGAAGAATCCATGTTGCACAGCCCATGGGTGGCGTTGTGCGCGAGACTTTCATTCCTGAAGCCGCAAAGAATAAGGCGAAGTACGACAAGGCCGATCCCAACAGGCCTAAGCTGGAGCGCGACATTGAGGAAGAGGAGGGTGGTCCCGGTGTCTACAACTTCAACATGCGAAAGAACTACATTTTGGAAAACCCGGAGTGGAAGGAAGACCGGATCCCTGAAGTTTTCGAGGGCAAGAACGTCTACGACTTCATCGACCCCGATATTGAAGCCAAGCTGGCTGCTCTTGAGGAGGAGGAGGAGAGGCTGGAGGCCGAGGGTTTCTACGAGTCGGACGAGGACCTGGAGGACGAAGATGATGCTGATATCAGATACAAGGCTGAGCTGATTCGCGAGAAGAGGCAGCTTATCCGCAACGAAGCGAAGATGCGGAAGAGCCTGAAGAACAGGGCCATGATTCCCAGATCCGCAAAAACCCAGAAACTCTCCCAGATGGAGTCGCACTTGGAGTCTCTTGGCTACGATACTTCCAAGGTGTCAGCGCGAGCACGGAGCCAGAGCCGGGGCCGAAGTCTGGCTCGCGGACGCTCAGAAGGAGTTGACGGCGATGCGATGGAGATTGATACCCCGAAAGCGGCACTCGAGCGTGCGAAGAGCCGGGCTCGCAGCGCGAGCACCAACAGGCGAACCGACGGTGTCACTGACGAGACTGCTCGTTCCAAGGCCGAGAGGCTGGCCAAGCTGGCCCAGAAGAAGATGAACAGAATGGCGAGACAGGGTGAGGCAGACAGGCACCAGACTGGGTCGTTGACAAAGCATTTGGTATGTATGGTTCTGAGCTAGCATACGGGACTGTCACTAACTCGGCACAGACTGTTGGCAAGCGCGGTATCGGCAAGACAAACAGGAGATGAGCACATTCTGGGTCATAGCACTTCAACGGGGTTGTATGAGGCGTTCAAGGATACATTTGATACCAGCGCGTTTCCAGCTTGATAATAGCTTTAGAGCCCGGGCTTGTCGAGTGAGGCGTGATGAATAGGAGCCATTACTGTCCGCATTATGTTTTTATGACGCATGCGAGGACTGGGGCTAGGGGAATGAAAAGCAACTTTCATAATTAGTTTCCAACATTTCATCTCGCTACCGTTACAGCTGGGCCCATTGCCTTGGGTAGAGTGAGTTCGATCTCACAAGTAGAGATGCACAGAGTGCCCAATGAGGAGATTTGCCTACAGAAACACATTCCGCTAAGGGATATGAACATTGCTGTCTCTCGCGATCAACGTTGCGGTATGGCGGTGTGGTAGTAGTAACACTCCTACAGGCAGAATCGACTCCAGGTTTATCGCTTCTTGAACTGTTCGTCCAGGTAGCTTGGGTCAATTCTCAAACGTGTGAGCTACTATGACCGGATACGATCTCACCTCCTATTACATTGAACCAAGTGCCACAGTGAAGATGAAGAGGTTGGATCAACCGGGAGCGGACCGGACACTTGCAAGCAGATGGTTGAGACACACCACTCCATGCTGTGGATACAATATTACATTTTACATTCACATGTAGATGGTCACCGTCCACTGGTCTTACACAACACTTCCACCGCTAAACCACGCCGAACCAAACATCGGCAGCATGAACGATATAAACCCAGCCACGTCCAGAAAATAGCAAATGCCCCCGTGGACTCCCTATGGTACATATATGGTCTTTGTTGGAAACAAACGCCCCGCCGTGAGGTTTAAGAGAGGTGAGTTTGAAGAGACATGCGAAGAAGATTGGACGTCCGTCGCCGAAGAGGGCGGTTTATGCAGAAAAAAAGTGGTGGGTCTGGAAGAATGGGAAAAGTGTGCGCGCCGCCGTCTCGTTCGTGTCTCCTATCGTCTCCCCCCAGTCATTTCGGAGCCTTGTCCTGACACAACCGCGTGGCCGGATTGCCGGCGAGCTAGGGGGAATCTGAGTCGTACGTGGCAATCGTCTACTCGCTTTCGAAGAAGGCTTTCCGGGAGATCTGATTGTCTGTCAGCGTCGAGTCTCTTTTTGAAGTGCATCCGGTGCAATGTAAACTCACCGCCCAAGCGCCTGCGACGCTGGCAACAATACCACTGCTGATCATCATGGGCCTCACTCCTCGCGTGCTCTTGAAGATGGCGCCGCTCAGCGCACCTGCAACCACGCTGTTGGTGATATCGTGCTTGCCCCTTACAGCCCCAATCGTGCTGTTGATGCCATTATAAACCATTGCTATCACGCCCGCCGAGTTCCCCAAGAACGGTCCCCTCCTCGTCACCGCGTTCAGCACGCCATTGAGCCGTAACCGGGGCGGCATCGATGCGGGATTCTTTTGCAGGCCCTCCACAAGACCCCACGCACCACCGATGGTGAGCGCCGTTACGTAGGATATCCCGGTGCCATAACACAGATCGTCTGACCAGCCGCGCGAGGGCAAGGCAGAGCGGCCGCCGGGTAGGTCCGTGAGAGCGCTATCTTCAAGATTGAGGTAGTCGAGGGTATCTTGGTTGAGGCCTGCGAGGGGGTGCAGCTGCGAGGGATCTATTATGAATTCTGAGGGGTTCTGGATGGCTGTGCTGGGGTCGAACGGGGCGGGTGTGAAGGTGTCGTGAGGTTCGGGAGTGGTGGTGGGAGGCGAGGACGATTTGCGACCCGTGATGGTATCCCAGCTATAGAGGATATTAGCGATTGCTTTAAGAACGCGCGAACGCAACCTTACATCGTCATGGTGGTTGTAGGGTGTGGTTGTAGTTGAGGCGGAAAGAAGCTGATGGATCAAGAACGCGCCGACCGATCACTGGCGCTGAAACAATTCCACAACGCCCTAATGCGGGAGCCCAGAAAAACGATGGAGATCTAGTAGAAATGAGGGGCGCAGTGTGCCGACGCGGTGATGGCGGAGAGATGTCGTCGTTGTCCAGAAGTCGGGCTCATCCTGGCCGTGCAAGATGAATTTTTGGCAAGGGACTAGCAAACGCACGGACCTCCACCCACCCACCACCAGGCAAACTTGAAGCTTGATGGCTACACTATAGCAGATGGTGCCTACGGAAACCCTCCACCTGATTTACGAGAAAACCGTGACCATGGCGCTGCCGGAATACAAGGAGAAGTTCCTCAAGGATTGCGTTTCTGCCGGTGCGCTCAAGTTCGGCACATTCACTCTGAAGTCCAAGCGCGTATCCCCGTACTTCTTCAATGCGGGACTGTTCCACCGCGCCGACCTGCTGCGCTCGATATCCTCTGCCTATGCACACACACTAAAGGCACATGGAGACGCAAACCCCGGTTTTGAGTGGGATGTACTCTTCGGCCCTGCGTACAAGGGCATTCCTTTGGCCGCGGCCACTGTCGACAAACTCGCCGACCTGGACAGTGAGAAGTACGGAAAGAAGAGCTACAGCTTCAACCGAAAGGAGGCGAAGGATCACGGTGAAGGAGGTAACATTGTCGGTGCTTCTTTGAAGGGACAGAAGGTTGTCATTGTCGACGATGTGATCACGGCCGGAACTGCCATCAGAGAAGCCATTGAGATTATCAAGAAGGAGGGTGGAGAACTTGTGGGCATTATTGTAGCCTTCGACAGACTGGAGAAGACGCCTAGTGCTACGGACGACGATGATACGCCCAGGCCGAGCGCCATCGGAGAAGTCAGGAGGCAATATGGCATCCCGGTGTTGGCCATCTTGACGCTGGATGATGTTGTGGAATACCTCCGGGGCTTGGGAAGCGCAGATGATTTGAAGAGGCTCGACGAGTACCGGGCAAAATATAAAGCAAGCGACTAGTAGAGGTATGGGGCGATCTTTAGACGAAGGCATGGATTTGCGACGAGATTAAGACAAAAGTCAAATACGAGGAGGATTTTGGTCGATGCACGCCCCGGTTGTGGTTGGATTTCGAAATAAACTGCAGAGGCGGGGACATTGTGGCATCTGGATGCTCATAAGAAATGGTTAGACAAACTGCACTGATTCTTCAAAGACAGAGCCCATGGACAGCTCAACGCAATAGAAAAATTCGATGAAAACAAACAAGATCGTTGGCAAGACCACTTTGGAGACGAACTCACCAATCACCAACAGCAACCTCAAGCAATCCATCCGCCCCAAGTCTGTCCTAAGCTATCTCACCTGATCAGGCACAAGCGTTGCCAGCAATCACGGAGCCACCTGATATAATAAGTTAAAGCCAGAGCAAATTGTCTTGATTGGAAAGTTCCAGGAACGGCACTCGGCACTGTATATTTATGCAGAGGTGCCCGCCACATCTGATGCCCCTTCTTGGCAGATCCTCGGCGTCCCTCCTGGAGCGAAAGTCCTGTAAATACACGTATCGGATAGCGCTCGTTGCACCCGACCCGTCCATCGCGCGCTGTGAGAGCTTTCCTCTTGTGGTCGGGGCTCTGCATCGCCATGCGCGACTCTGTTTTCTCGTCTTTCTTTGCAGGTCCGAAGTTGCACCCCTCGTTTTTGGCCACAATTCATCTCATTTCTTGACCCTGCCTTTGGACATAATCGCTTGGGACTGACCGGAGCACTCACAGCGCCTTTCGGGTGGGTTCGAAGAGAGGCACAAATTGTGCAGCGGTGTATCCGCTCTTAGACGTCGGTTTGGGAGGTGGTTACCTGGTTACTTCCGGTCATATTCACGTCGCAACTGCACCCTCCAGTCCTCTTCAAGATGCGCCCCGTAAAGATCAAGCCGCCTCGCAATGGCTCGTACCAGCCTATGGGCCTCCGACAAAGACGGAACCTGAAAAGAATTGGCTTTGCTCTTTTGTCGATAATTGCACTCATTTATTATTTTTACACGCCATTCGACTACAGCGCCGTCGACTTCGAGAGCCACGAAGCGTACATGAACGACCGGTTGCACGCGAAAGGCTTCGTGTCTCAGCAATCGTACGACTGGCGGACAGCGCCCTTCTTCAACAAGATAAACGGGTCACTCACCCCGCTACCGACTGGTGTTCCACGTTCGCTTCCACGTATACAATATGAGTTTCCGGAGGAGACGGCGTCGCAAAAAGCGCTACGAGAGTCGCGGCGTGCAGCAGTGCGGAAGGCCTTCCAGCGTACCTGGAACAGCTATCGTAAACATGCGTGGAAGATGGATGAGTTGATGCCCATCTCCGGGAAGGGCTTGGATACGTTTGGCGGCTGGGGCGCCACGCTGGTCGATTCACTAGACACTTTGTGGATCATGGGATTCAAGAAGGAGTTCTATGAGGCGGTAGATGCCGTTGCACACATAGACTTTGGAAAATCGGAATCGGGTACAATCAGCGTGTTTGAAACCACGATCCGTTATCTCGGCGGCATGCTCAGTGCCTATGACCTGAGCGGGGAAAAGGTCCTGTTGGACAAGGCCATCCAGCTCGGCGAGTTGCTGTACCGAGCCTTCGACACAAACACCAACATGCCTCAAGACCGTCTGTCTCTGGAAGCAGCCAAAAAGGTGGACAGCCAGGGTGCGGCTGCTGACGGCAACATCTGCTTTGCAGCCATCGGTTCGCTCACCATGGAGTTTACAAGGCTAGCACAGGTTACCAAGGAGCCCAAGTTCTACGATGCTGTCGCCAGAGTCACCAACTTCCTGGATCGCGCTCAGAACAAGACGGACATTCCTGGGCTCTTCCCTACGTGGATCAATGCGTTCACCCTGGACTTCACCTCGGACGAATACTTCACCATGGGGGCAATGGCCGACTCATCTTATGAATATTTCCCCAAGATGTATGCGCTGCTCGGTGGGTTGGAACCCGTGTACGAGAAGCTCTACAAGGAGTCGGCGCCCATGATTGATAAATACCTGCTATTCCGCCCAATGCTTCCTGACACGGAGCGGGGCGAGGATCTACTGTATTCGGGCGACCTGTTCGCGAACGCTGGTGGGACCGGGAGGTTTGACCCAGAGATGCAGCATCTTACCTGCTTCATAGGCGGTTTCTTCGCTCTTGGAGGTCGGCTGTTTAAGAATGAGCACCATGTTGCTCTTGGAGCCAAGCTGACGGAAGGCTGCATTTACGCCTACGAGAAAATGCCCAGTGGCGTTATGCCGGAGAAGTTCCACATGGTGCCATGCGAATCTCGCAATAAATGCCCATGGAACGCAACCAAGTGGGAGGAGCATGTGTTGCGCAAATCCTACGCAGAGACGCACGAGGAATTCCTGGACGCTGTCAAAGAGCAGAAGCTCCCTCCTGGCTTCTCTCACATCAAGGACCGCCGCTACCTTCTCCGTCCAGAGGCCATCGAGTCGGTCTTCATCATGTACCGTATTACCGGCCATCAGGAGTACATGGAACACGCTTGGAACATGTTCGAAGCGGTACAGCGTGCATCCATGACCAAGTTCGCCAACGGCCAAGTCTTGGATGTGACTGAGGCGGATCCCGTACCCCTGCCCGAAGACAAGATGGAGTCTTTCTGGACTGCCGAGACGCTCAAGTATTTCTACCTCATCTTCAGCCCGCCAGACATGATCAGCCTCGACGACTGGGTTTTCAATACCGAAGCCCATCCTTTCAGGAGACCGAAGTCGACTCGGACATAGTCGACCAGCTACGACTTGTTTCTGCGCACATCTTGATACCCGCCTGGGCTACAGCTTGCCCGGCTTGTTGATATACAGTATTTGGAAGATTTTCGGTTTTGAATTTTCAGCAGCTTGCATTCCACTTTGGCGTCAACAGGCCATTGTTAGACCTTCTTCTCGGTTCGCATTTACAAATTAGCATATACACAGTAGCTGTACATCCAAAGCAGACGAGTCGATGGATCAAGGCTTCTCTTTGTACTCTGCGCTCGAGTACCGTGTCTAGCTGAGGTGTTGCCCAATCGGCATGTGAGGGACGTGAATGACTGCGCCACACCCCGCCACTCATGACGTACGCTTCCAGACAAGCACCTGGGCACTGACCTCGGTACCCATGTTCGAACCAAAAACTGAATCAATCACGGAGCCGTGGCTGACAACCTTTGGAAGCGAACTGGCGAGCTTCCCGAGAGGTCATGATTCGATAAATAATGTCTAGGGACCGCACACATACTATTGACTGAGCCCGCAAGGCAGCAGCATTTCACAGAATCCTCACAGGCCTGCTAAAACCCGGTCTCGTCGTCAACGCTCTTTTGTCCGTTTTCTGAGACGTGCTCTGGCTTTTTGGAGTTTCTTGCTCATCAACCGCCTGTTTCATTCATCGGTTCCCCCGTCTCCTTTCACAGAGCCCTTTTCCGCAGTGGCATACACGGCACACAGCACGCCACCGAGGGACCACGCTTCCGGCATGGAGATCCCACGCGGGCATGCCATGCTCCCACTCAAAGAAGCAGACCTTTTGGATTTCATTTACAATTACTTCAAGGCCGAATATGCGCCCATCCGGTCATTTTGGTCGACAGCAGCAGCGGAGCCCCGGCAGCCCCAGCGATGGGTGTCCATGGGTCACGAGCTCACTCCCCTCACCTTCAGACCCGCCAACGCCCAAGCACAGAAAGATCTGGAGTCCCTGGACTATTTTATTCGTGAGAAGAATCTCGACGCCGCTTTCGTGAGAGGTCTGGTCGTAAGGTTCGCCAAGTACGAAGTGCATGAGCGTCTAGAGAAGAAGCTGTACGAGAGTGCAAGGTTGGATCTGATGGTGCGCAAGGCACTGAAAGAGAAGCATGTCATTGACGCTCTATGGCCGTCCCCAGCTGCACGCGATATCCCCCAGGAGCTGTTGAAGCAGGGGGTCCAAGTTCGGCAGTGGTACGGAGACATGTTTGTTAAGTACTTCCGGCACCTCCACTCATTAGACGATTTCAGTCTACGGCCTGAGGTCGATGCAAAGATAAGAAGTAGTGGGGCCCTGATGCTGGTACCGTTTGTTGACCACCTCGTGTTTGGCACTGTCGATCCCATCTTTCCCATCGTCGCCAAAGGAGCTGGGTACGCCAATTCGCAGGCATGGCAGCAGAAGGACAGTCGGGGAACGTTTGGGGAGCCCGAGCAATTCGAGATCAGGTTCGATGCGGCTGGGGACATCGAAGAGACGCAAACGAGGAGCGTGGTGCGACAGTGTCACTGCCTGAAGTGCGGAGCAAAAAGAGATGTCAAAGTCATTATATCGCTCGACCCAAGTCCATCGTCCGCTGCCGCGGCGAGCAGATCCTCGAAGCAAAGCACGAGTACTCAAAGACAGCGGACCCCAAGGACAGCACAGCGGTACACTCCGGGATATGTCATGCCTGGAGATAGGGAAACCACCGAGGCCCGCCCCCCTACACCACCATCTCAACGTCGACCACAGATACAGGATCGACCTGTATCCCCGCTGCAGAAGAAACAGTGTCCTCGCTGCACGTTCCTGAATCACCCGGACCTGACAACTTGCGAGATGTGCCAGGGAGACCTTCCGGAAACGCTGGTTTCAGATCCCCCGAGCCCTGCAAGGACATCGACCGGCAAGCCATCGCATGCTCGTTCGGAATCCCATCCGCCTTCGAGCACCACCGACCCGCAACGATCAGAAATGAGAGAGACTGCACGGCCAGCAGCTCCAAACAGACACAGCTTGAGCTCAACGCTCTTCTCCATCTTTCCCTTCTCGCAGCATGCGCAGACCGAACACCACGCCAGGTTACCTCCGTCACAACCTGTTGCGGAACCCAAAGCGCAACCCGTGAGCACCAAGCCCGACAAGGACTCTGTTGCTACAGCCTCGAAGCAACAGCGTGGTAGCCGAGACGTAGATGAAGTGTTGCCTTCTTCGCCCGAACCCGGCCCGTCGCGCCCATCAACCGCAGAATCCCACCCAGCGGAGCCTAGCACACCACCGCTGTCGCAGTCTCCCCAATTCCCCGCCCTGTTGCCGTTCTCTCCCCCTTCGCCTCGGTCTCCCGATGCACCTCCGCCCGCGGGACTTCCGCACACGCTTGTGGAGTACGACTTTGTTCCTGTGTCGGCCTCTCCGACCTTTGCTGGCGCTGGAAACGAGGAGGAAGACGCTGGATGGGGGGAAGTGTCCCGGGAGGAAGCGAGGAGGAGTGCAGAGGACCAAAGAAGGGACGATGCTAAAGACGAGGGTGAGGATGATGAAGAAGGGGGGAAAGCGAGGGGGATGATTGATCTGGATGCTGTTGCTAGGGAGGAGATGGGAGTCTGGGGGATCCGGGATGATGAATAGAGGGAGGATGTGGTGTATGGATTCCGCTTCAGTGCATCGGCCATCTTGGAGTGGAAGATCATCGCATATAGCAAGCATGTAATGTTTAGGCAACTTCAGGAATATCATTCTCGAACTGAGGATGGTGCGAATCAGCGTACACAGTACTGTACACAGTACTGTACACAGTACAAGGCAAAGAGGGAGCACGAGCCGTCCGCTTAACCACTTTCGGGGGAAGAGCCGGGGCTGATAGATGGGGCGATCGGTCTTTCGATGATCTCTTCCCTCGTCAAACCGTTCGATACACAGTACACAGTACACCACGGGCTACGGCCCCTCCCGTCTTGGAAGGTTATTCACGTGCAAGACTTGATGGGACGCAGAGGCAAGCCAACTACTATCTTGCTGCTCATGTATGCAAAGGCTAGGAGAGGGAACCTAGACCAAGCTCATCACGTCATCCTTGTCCGAGGGTATCAGCACCGATGGATCGGAAGCCGATGGGACTAAGACGAAACACAACCTCCATCACCTGTGCAGCTCCTGGAACCTTCCTATGTACGGAGGAGCGCAACTTCGAACGGTGCGCCATTCTCTCTGCAGCCTCCACGGAAGCTGGATTACCCGGACCAGGATAGTTGATCCGGCCACGCTGTGTGGGTCGCAGATTGACCGTTTCCCAACCCGCGGAGTATTTCCCTACAGACCAAACGAGAATTGAGAAGAGGAGGGAGCGGGATGGCACAGCTGTTAAGTCTGCCGCGCGAGCTGCGCGACATGATCTACATGGCACTCATCACGGCCGAGCGTCCACGGCCCGACTTCAAGCGGGAGAGGTGGACTCCCAAGAGCCACAAGCTCTACTCGTACTGTGCGACCCGACCCATCCGACCACCGGTGAACTGCGCTGGGATGCTGCAATGCAGCCGACAGGTCCACCGTGAGATGAGCGAAGCGATTGAGGAAGCCAAGGCGAAGCAGCTGGCGGCGTTGAAGCTGGATTACTTCATCATGGATGCTGAAACCAGCATTGCTACCTGGCTCCGGATCCCAATCGTGGAGACGAAGGGCAGAGTGGGGAGAAGGCAGGAGAAGGCGGAAGGGACCCCAAAGTGGCGTATCCGAATCCCAGGCTCGACAGCTTCGGCAGCAGAGAACCATGATGGCTGTCCACACGCGATCAGTAGACCGCGTTGTGTCTGCGGGAATTCCTCGACGCTGCTTCACCAACTATGGGTGGACGTCCGATATGCGCGCACTCTTGGCCACGAAGATGAGCTAGACGCCGTGCATTGCCAGGTGTGGGGCATATGCGCCACTCTCGTCGATGTGCTCGAGAGAGGGGGGAACTGGTCGAGGGAGGCCCCTTCATGCAACATTGCCATGATTGACGAACTGGTCCTCAACGTGGTCTCGCCACGGCACCTCGTCAATGGGATTGTCCAACGTTCCCGTGGCACGCAGACGACCGACTCAACTAGGGAATTGGACTCCGAGGCAGCGTGGGTGGCACGTCGTGTGCTGGGCGTGTGGGATACCCTCTGGACTTCGGATGCGTCGAGTAAACCGTTCCGCCTCCTGCTCGAGAGAATCCGACGGGTGCGAATGTGCATCGACGGCGAGACATGGCGAGTTCGTGAACTGCAACCGGAGCTGGAGAGAGGGTGGGCCGAGCAACGGCGAATCGCAGCGCGACTGATGCATTGAAGCTAGGTTAGGGCATACATCGGCACTGCTCCGTGATGCAAGTAGACTATGAATTTCCTATCTCGTTGCTCGCGTGAGAACGATGTTGGGTACCCCCGTACCTAGAGCCTAGCTGGCACTTTTGAGCGGCATGCATGTAGATAAGCGTCAGCAGTACGAAGGATAGGGAAGCAGCTGAGAATGATCAGTAGTGGTCTACCTACAGTATTGTGTACTGTGTTCTGTGTACTATGTACTCCGTACTGTGTACTGTGTACTGTGTCACTGTGTTACTGTATGGTGATGGCGATGTTGGGCAAGCTTGAGGGAGTTGGTCTGGAATTACGGGTAGGGCCGGCAAGCCAGGGTTCGGGGGTCGGCGGTCGGGGGTTCGGCTGCCAGCACGCGTCTCGCTTCTTCGATTGGCGATTTTGTGCGAGGAATACCTGATCTCACGCACTCTCTCTCTGTCGACTACTCTCCCCAGACTCAAGTTGGCCCTCACGTAACCAACCAGCTGAACAATGCCAAGGAGAAAGGCGCAGACACTCGATAAGACGTGCAGAAGTGCAGACAAAAAAACTCGATATCGATGCTATGTACCTAGACCATAAATTACTATATATGGCAACTAGGCGAGTTTTCCCGCCCCCATTAGCTCCCACGTTCCCACTTCTGGGCAGGAGCCACCCAGCCGGCTGCTGACTAAGGATGTCGCGTCAACCGTCAACGCTCACACCCAGGCCCTTTTTCCCCATTTGTTTGATGAAACACGTCTCCGTCTCATTCCACGTCTGCAATTGGTGCAATGGGTGCTCCCCCATGCGCCATCAAGGGGCCGTCCGCTGCAGGGGGTCGCTGGTGTTGTTGTCTGACAGACCTGGGGCCGACTTCTCCTCCTGCTGCCACTCTCTGAAAATCTTTCCCTTCTATATCTCCTTGCCCATCTTTCCATTCCTTCCTTTGTTTGCTTTCTGCTTCTTCTGGTGTGCTGTCATCGTCCCAGGTCCCCTCCCTTTGTCACCTTGTCTGATTTCCTCATCTCCCCCTCTCCCCAAGTGAACAACACCTCGACATCGATACGCCTGCACTCCTGCAACGGTCCCTTTCACCCCGTCAGACACTGCTGGACAGTTCATCCCCATTCCCCATTCCCCTCGAGCTTTCCATCTCGCCATAACCACCACCGCCACCATGGCGTCCACCCCGTCCACGGACAACTCCAAATCCATCAAGCCCGCCGAGATTGAGGTCACACCCAAGTCCAATGCCGTCCCCCAAGGCCCAATGTCCCCGCTGTCCTGGCGCGCCGCCCCGCGTCCACAGATGAACTCGCGCAAGAACACGGATCTGGACGATTACTTTGTGAGCTGCGCCCACGGAGCAGACATGGCAAAGTGCAGGCTAACGACGTGCTAGGTCGGCCCCCGTGACATGTCCAAGCATTCCAAATGGCCCTTCTTCCTCCGCATGCATGGCTCCGTGCTCCCCAAGATGATTCTCCCACTCACCGTTGTGAGCATCTGGTCCACCACCATCACCGTCCTGTGCCGATACGTCTACCCGCTCAAGGTCAACAATCTGCTGCTCACCGTCCTGGGTTTCGTCGTGGGTATGGCTATTTCGTTCCGGACGTCGTCCGCCTACGAGCGTTACACCGAAGGCAGGAAGTACTGGTCGCAGTTGATGCTCGTGGGCCAGAACCTGGCTCGCACCATCTGGATCCACGCGAGCGAGCGCCCGGGCCAGCAAGGGAAGGAAGACCTGCTCCTCAAGGTGTAGGTGGACCCGCACTCCACGTGCCGAGAGACACAGAGGCTAATTGCTTGATCCAGATCCGCCCTCAACCTCATCGTCGCTTTCGCATGCGCCGTGAAGCACAAACTTCGTTTCGAGCCGGGCATCGACTATCCCGACCTCAGGGAACGCATCGAATATCTCGACACCTTCGCCAAAGAAGCCGAACCCGAGATCCCCAAGCCCCGCGAACCCGGAAAGCTCAAGGCCGTCGGCGAATACCTGGGCGTCACCTTTGCCGAATCCAACCCTCGCAAGCGCATCAAGCGCTCCAAGAAGCCCCTGGGAAACCTGCCCCTGGAGATTCTGAACCACCTGTCCTCCTACGTCCAGAGTATCTGCGACAATGAGACGCTCAAGAGTGGTCTGTACCAGAACCAAGCCAGTACGTTGCTCAAGGTCCGGTTCAAATCCCAAAAGCTAATCCACTCCCAGTCACCGGTGTTGTCGCCCTCAACGAAGTGCTCGTTGGCGTCGAGCGCGTCCTGCAGACCCCGCTGCCCATTGCCTACTCGATTGCCATCTCGCAAATCACCTGGGTCTACGTCATGATGCTGCCCTTCCAGCTGTGGGAGTCCCTTAAATGGGTCACCATCCCCGGCTGCATCTTCGCCGCCTACATCATCCTGGGCATCGCTGCCATCGGCCGCGAGATCGAGAACCCCTTTGGCATGGACGTCAACGACCTGCCCCTCGAGGCCTACTGCGAGGAGCTCGAGATGGACGTCGACATCATCATGAGCCAGCCCGCGCCCAAGCCCGCTGAGTTTTTGCGCAAGCGCCTCAACATGCCCCTCTGGCCCCTCAGCCACTCGGGCTTCACCGACTGGGCCGACCGCAGCAAGCAGGAGATCCGCGAGGCCCTCATGACCAAGACCAAGGCCGACATGAAGGTGAGGCGGAGCATGAATCCCGAGCGTGCTAGCAGCGACGAGAAGATCGCGGCGGTGCTGCAAAGCCAGGACGCGTAGACAGAGCCCGTCGGCGGTGGACCATAAAAAGTATAGTGGGTGTCAATGCATAGCGTGCGTGGGTCTTGTTTCTTTGCTTTCTCGGTCTTCTTTTCGTCATATTCCGGGTTCTGTACACCATTTGCACTTAGGATATTGTAAAAGTGGGAATTTACACATGAAGTTTTCGAATGAATTCCGTTCCTGCTGCACAATAATCCTGACGGACAGATGCAATCCATACAATTCTCGGTACCAATACAGGACGAACCGAACAGACGAATCCCCGTTCCTTCTGCCTTTCTCCAATGCACCCTACCCTTTCCCCAATCTAGCTCACGCTCCCACACCAGTAGTCGGCCGTACACCGCACCTTCAACGCCTCGGCCGTATCCCCTCCATTCTGCCTCTTCTTGCTAGCCCGGTCATCAGGACCACCAGACGCCGGCCACCCGGCCCCCTCGGCAATCACAATCGTCGTCTCGCCGTCCCGGAAGCACGCGAAGTTCTCCCTCCCCACCGTCGCCGTGCCCGCGAGCTCGCCCGCACCCAGGTCGTCGGCGCCGCGCGCAATGTCCAGGGCAAAGTACAGATCATTCCACACGGCAGTGGACCGGTTTCCCTCCCACGACGCGGCCGGGCTGCGGAGGATGGCCACCTGGTCCATGATTTGCTTGTTGTTCTGGATGGGCGTGCCGAAGAAGCCCACGGCGGACACGGTGCGGCTCGAATACCCCCATCGGCCACTCGTTGGGCTACAAGTTAAAAGATAGACGTTGTGGCTCGTGGCGGCCGCGGGGGCCACATCGTCGCGGATGCGAAGTATGGGCGAGGCCGACGTGAGCGTAGTTGCAGTTGTGAGGACGACGACGAGGAGGGATGGAATGTGCGTGGACAACATGATGGTGGTCGTGGTAGATGTGATGATAGACTAGGGGTTTTTTTTTTCTCTTCTTCTCGTAGCAGATCCTCTCCCTCTTGAGCGAAGCAGCAGGAACCCCCTACATCTACACATATAGACATATATAGGTGAGCCCATTATAGCCGATGGAAATTGTGGTTCCAATACATCTAGGTAATCACATTACCGAGCTCAGGAACCGAGAAGTGACCCAGTAGAAATAGATTGCGCTTTCAATAGTCTATGCTGCGCGCTTACCAAGTATGCTGAGCATACTCATCTAATTCTTGTAACCTGGATCCTTAAACGAGACTTATGACCCACACGTAATCATGGTCCCGGGTCCACACGTCGTAGTCTTTGGGAGCATCAATGAGGTGCCATATCAATACATGCTGCAGTATGTATATTGTGTTTCCAGAGTGTTGTTACCCAGTGAAGAGAACGTAGCCAAGTTCAAGTCAGCCGTGACCTTGAATGGCACGGATTCGGCTCCGTTCTACCGACATGGCCGAGTAATTCCATATCAGGGCTGAAGCACGTCGAGACCTCGTGTATGCGATATCCACACAAATAAAAAGATGCCTTGAAATGGCAGATGGGGACTTCATCTCCTTTGCCTTGGCTCTGGCGCCGTGCGAATCCGGAGGCGCATCCTCACGTTTCTCGGCGGCTTCTTGCAGCCAGAATCGTCCTTCTGGGTGTGCTGTCGAATCCTCTCTTCCGCCTCGTCGGCATCCGATAGTTGTATCTCGTATTCATTAAGGAAGACCGCGAGGGATCCCACCTCGATTGCCTTGGCCAACTCTTGTCCTGGACAGGCGTGGGGACCACTGCCGTACGTTGTCATCATCAAAGGCTCCACACCCTCCAAGCCGAATCCACCTGCAGAGGCTGCCTTTTCAATTGCCTTGGCACCATTGTCGTGGGTCAGGAATCGCTCAGCCCAGAACTTCTCCAGGGGCACCTTCACGGCTTGCGGACGAGCCTTGCACCAGAGTGTCGTGTTCAATGCAAGTTGCCGCGAAGGAATCGCCACAAAGGACCCTTTCGGGATGGTCCAATTCTCGTCTAAGTCGAAATCCCCCTCCCGATTGTGTAGCACCACGTGCGAGGACGTGCGTAGCCGTGAGACTTCAGCGTGCATGGATTGCATGAGCGGATTGGATGTGAGTTGCACAACATCGTAGAGCCCAGTTCTGGCATCGTAGGAGCGTTCAACAAGAGAGGCGAAGCTCCTGAGGAGTGCTGGATCGCGTAATAGTTCAACTATAGACCAGAAAGCGAGCGGTGCAGTGCCTGAAGCTGCTCTTGTCTTCATTAGCGGAGTGTGATCTCACGGAACAAGCAACATACCTTCTTAGAAGTGCCAAAGCCGCCGATGCACGCACAGCGTATCCGGGGGCTATCCTCGCAATGGCACGATCGCTTGCTTGGAAGAAGCTCGAACCACGAGTTGCGTCCCATGGCTCTCCTCCTTCGGCTGCTTCGGATCCCTTATCAGAGATCGCCAGCCAGTCGACGAGGGCTTTCAACAAGCGCTCACGGGCCTGATACACCTTTGTGGATGCAAAAACCGGTAGTTTCCGCTCCAGTTCATCAGCGCCACTCTCATACTCGACGAAGTCGCTGACCAGCCGAGGATGCATCTGCAGCAGCGCCGATCCAAACAAGGCTTCCGCAATCGCTCGCGTTACTTCTAGCTGGGTGAAGGACCAGAGGTCTTCAATCTCGGTCCATGTCCTCTCCTGAAACATCTTGCTGGCCATGTTACGACGCAGGTTGCTGATGTATTTCTCGGATATGGACGCTAAACGATCCCCTTGAAGATACTTGCGAGGCACGGTGGCCTGGGCATAAACGAAATCGTCGTCCTTCTTAAGGCTTCGACTGGACTTTTCGACAAGCCGCATTGCCTCCTTTGGTGGGCCCACTGCTTTGTACAGCAATTGGACATGGCTGCCTTCAGGTACCATTTGTTCCGAATGGAAAACCCTGAGGACGTGCTCTGGATCTCTAACGACGACGTACGATTCCAGGATTGCTTTCTTGACTGTAAATGGAAACTGGGCTGGAACCACCGTCTTGTCTTGGCTAGGTGTTTGTTCCATTAGTCTGTCCGTTTCAGAGATGGCTTTCGATATAAAGGAGGGCAACCCTTGAGCCATTATATGCCAGCCGTGGAACAGAAGAGGTATTGGGTATGGAACCGTCGGAGGGGTCTTGCGGGCGCCAGACATGGTTGCACCCCGCCTGAACTGGAAAACCGCGAACACGCGAACTACGAACTGAAGTATCGAGAAGAATCCAACCAATGGAATGCCGACCCTGAGCAGAAAGAACAACATTTTTGTTTGAATGGATAGAGCCTCTCCGAAGTGCGTTTAAACCAGATACTGCCAGGGTCACAAGAATCGCTGGAACCGGAGCAGTGACGGGGACAAGATATTCCAATGCTGGAGGGGGCGATTAGTGGAAGAACCCGAGGGTACTTCTCGAATGCAAAGACGGGGAGACGCTGTTGGAAGGGACGGGAGACAGGGTGGCGAAAGAGAGAATCAAGGAAAGTGGATTGCGTGAGGAATGAGTGAGGTGGATCTACTGAGAGGAAGGTGTAGATAATCATGAATAAGAATCTCCAGTACGATGGAGGTGACTGGAACTGACGTTCTTGCCGATTGGACAACATTGATTACCTAAGGCGCATCCACGTGACGGAGGCATTCACGGCATTCACGGCATTGTCATGACAATTGGGTGCCAATTTGAGTTACATGGTAAGTTTGGCTGAGAACGATTGCTTCGATATAGACTACCAGTCATCCGGATCTATGAAAGGACGACGGGTGCCTCCTGGTGTGCTTACTAAGCGAATAAGGTCCAGCACTGGCATGAAGTATGCACCGGCCATCACTGATGAGGGGATCAATCACAACATCGATAGTAGACGGGCAAAGGCTTCCGAACAAGTATAACTCACATTTGTCTAGGTGAGATCAGATTAGGCTGACATCTGCTGCCACTCCGGCCGGTCAGCGTGGGTTCCACGCAACTGGGTACGTAGAAAGTCGTAAATACGTCGAAGACGAGAACTTGCGCTTAGCATGGCTGTCTCTGACAGCATGCAGCGAGTCCCGGGCCCCAGGCCCATTCCATCTCTGTCCCTTGTGCGCCATTACTGTTGGCAGGGGCAGCGCCTGCTCGACTGTCTTGCTCAGGGCCATAACGAATACCATGCGGACTAAAGTCAACAAGTACAACTGACCCAATCAAAGGCTCATCCACAGTGCCATAGGCCGGTGCGGCTTTGACCATGTATACCAGGGTTCTTTCGTCTGCCACACCAGTGATGATTCTGTTACCTCTCTGACCTCCTGCACTCCTAGCCACTGGTGGGCTTAGGATATTGTGTAGACGTTTCGAGCAGAGACATTGTGATGCAGGCGGCGGCCATAATCTGACGGGAGAGTAACGGTACTGTTCGCCATCTGTGGACGCGAGAAGTGTCTTTGTTGTGGCAATGTCATTTGGGACCCAGTTCAGGGGTGCTGGTCTCCTTGAACCCACCCGGATACGGAGGCATGGAATGGTAAGAGATTCCTCGCAGCACCGGTCGTCTTCAACAAGATCAATGAAGGCATTACAAGAGTAGTTGTATGCTCTGAATTTCGTTCGCGTGAGGGCGAAGGGCCGAGACGTGGCTGTCGAACCATCAAGACCGAATTCTGGGTGAAAGCTTTGAGGGCTTCGCGGTTGTGGGGGAGCATAGTTCGGCTTGTCATATGGGTCGAGGGCATCGGTGAGGACGTCGTTTTCCGGGAGCAGAGGTACGTCAGGAGCTTCCTCGTCAAAGCTGATCTTCGTCATGTAAAAGGTCCGCGTCTGACGGCTGGCGCCATTCTGCCATTCGCGGCGCGCCTCCACAATAACAGGATCGTCCGTTTGTTCGTCGAATTGGATGCTCAGGTCAGTCCATGAATCATTGATGGGACCTTCGTTGTGTTGGCGTCGGTATATGCGACGATTAATCTCCATCTTCTCCGGGCGAGGCTCATTTATTGGGAAACGGATACAGTGGTAGAAGGAAGTCCAATCTATCTCCTCGACTGCCTGGGTTGTCTGGTTTGATAAAGCGTAGAAGTACTTATTGTGTACCTCAAAGACGACGGTGGATCCAATATCTGTACCGAAGAACTCTTCCAGTGGTAGGGCAACCGAGGATGAGAAGCGAAAGCCAGGATCCAGCGAGACTCCCCTTAGCTCCCATTCCCGATACCCTGAGTATCCTGCGCCGGTGTGGGTTCCATAATAGAGAACTGAAGATGTGTGCCGAACGAAAAGTTTGGAAGTGTCTTCGATCGCAATATCCTGGATCACTCTGCTGCTTTCCTGGACTTCGGTACTCGTCCTGATAGCAAATATTCTACCTCTGCTCCCTCTCCTGTTCGACGTGTACAGAACTGATATGATCCCGTCACTGTAATAGAGCAATGACCATGCGGATGAGGTGGAAGACGCACACGGATCGTCCAAAATGAGGGAACCGAGATTGATGGAAACTGGCGTTTGGGTTGAACGGACATTAACCACACGAATGACAGTGTCGCCCAAGAGACAGACTGTCCCTTGCCGGAAAAGAAAGTCTGTGCCGGAGCCAACAACCCGAGCCGAGAATGGACGTGCAAGAGAGAACGCATTCCGGCGATGGAATAGACTCCTCACTGCTTGTCTATAGGTGATGATTGAAGCTCGGGCAAGCTTGGCTTCCTGACTGAACGGCGCATGCAACTAGCATTTGATTAGTCTATAAAAAGGGTGAAGGTCCATCCTGCGTACCTCAATTGCCATCCGGCAAAGTGTGTTCTCGGTTAGCAAGACGCTTAATGGTCTACAAGTCCTACCCAGGCAGAATATATCATCGAGTTCGAGATAGCACGACATGTTGAAGAGAATGTCGAATGGAAGTCGGTCAAGGTTGATGGTCATGAAACCTTACTCTGCTGCTCGACCCCAGTGCCTGGTATGCAAACGCCGTTCACGCTCACTGTCGAGAGCATGGAGAGTCGAGTGTTGAGTACACTGAACGAACCCAGCGTACGTAGAATTGAAGCGCCGTAAGGATTGCAGAAGCCGGTGATGAGAAGGGATGGTGATTGACCCACGGAGCTTAACAGATCCAGCCTTGTACATATGTAAGAACGTCGAGGCCATTCACGCGTCTTCATATTGACGGTGAGGCTCTGCGAGGATGGACACCGACTCCGCTGCCTGACTTGTCCTACCTTTCAGTGACATAAAGGCTATGCCGTGTTAAAGGTAAGGGAATACCATGTCGTCCTTCGGTTTACCGGAATTGGCGCCGTCCATGATGGTAGTGCTCCACGAGGCTCTGCTTGGCCAATCACAACAACTCCCATGTATGATAACGGCGGGGAGTAACGAGGGCGTTGACGAGCTAGGAGGGGATGGGGCTGTGCAGGTGGCCCTTCAATCGTCCTGTGGTTCGTTACCCTTGTCAGAAGGCTTCCAACTCTGTGTTGAGGTTGAGGCTCTGTGGGATGGATCGTCCAATCACCGTCGGGCTGGCGATTTGTGCGCCCGTGTGGCTTCATATGCGGCTCTTCGAAGCTCCATCTACCTATGTATGGTGACCACTTCGCTCACTTTGCCCTGAATCACACGCAAGCTCGCACCATAGGCCAACACGAACCGTCACCGATCGACTTCGCCCAACTCTTCCATTCCAGCTGACGGCTGTTTCCCAGCCTGGGAACACTGGGAATAGCCGGGTCTCATCCTGGCAATACAGCCTGGTCCAAGCATACGGAGTGGGATAGACTACTTGCGTTGAGAAGGAAATTCCACGTCCCTCAGATTTATCAGAGTCCAATAATGAGACCCGGGGGACCACCACTGCGCACGTTCGCCTCGTTCGGGATACAGTGCGGTCGCACATGGAAGAACTGCGTGCGTCGTATGGACTAGCCAATGGAGAGAGCAGGGGAGGCGGGAAGAGCTGCAATGTGAGCGTATTGCTGTGTTCGTGCCAGCGCAACGGTGTAGTTGCATGTTGCCTGGTGGTGGAGGTTCCCAAGCATGGTCAGGCTATCCACGTCCTTAAAGCCAGCTTGTTAGATACTGTGGGAGCTTGACTGAAGCCGAGGCTTGTGCGGCTGAAGAGCAAGAAAGCGTTCAGCCTGATGCTCATGCCTTAAAGATTCCAAGGAAGCCACCAGTACTTTGCAGATATGAGCATAGACTGGGGTTGAATGAAGCGGAGTGAAGTCGTCGTTCGGAGCCATCAGAGAGGAGCTGTCTTAATCAAGGAGTTGTCGGTCCTAACGTACTGGACCAATCAGACCACAGAGAAGATCACGCAATATCAGACGACGAAAAATCCACGCCATCTCTACCTTAGGGTAACAGTCCAGGGACTAAACGATCAACACCACTTCAGGAGTTTAAAAACATCTCAAATGGTCGGTAAGGAATCTACATGCTTGGAAATGTAGCTGAGACGAAAAAGGTGCACGCAGATTCGTCGACGTTCACGCAGGGCTTGTCCAAACAGGAAGTCTATGCGCAGATAAGAGAGCAAGCGGAGGGGCTGTTCTTCGAACAGAGAAACTGGGTATGCATTATTCGCCTTGCCGTAGATGTCTGGGGCTATTGACTGAATCGATATCCCCAGGTTTGGTATATTGTGGCTCTCAGACCTCGGGACCACAACTAACTCGACGTGATTAGCAACCTGGCGAATACAGCATCACTTCTCTGGCATGGCCTCCGCTCACTCCCCCCTCCGTCGAGTAGTGTCAACTGGGCCGGCTTCTACGTTTTAGACGCATCCAAACCGAACCAGCTCATCCTGGGACCGTTCCAAGGCCAAGTAGCATGCCAGACGATTGCATTTGGGAGGGGCGTGTGTGGTGCCGCTGCGCAGACTGGCGCCACACAGCTCGTCGAGGATGTCGACAAGTTTCCGGGCCATATCGCCTGTGACGCAGCTAGTAAGAGTGAGATAGTCGTACCGATTGTGCAGAATGGGAGGGTGAGCCGCATCCATGTCCTCATGGGAGACAGGATTGATTGACCCACGGAGGACAGGTCGTTGCAATCATCGACATTGACTGTGCCGAGCTAAATGGCTTCGACGAAGAAGATAAAACAGGATTGGAGGAGCTGGCCCAGCTCATTGCCGAGTCTTCTGACTTCTGAGTTTTAAGAGTTGCAGAGCAGAGGGGCCACCAAAAAGCGTTGACTTGAGGAGGAATGTTTGTCTCAACATCCATTCACAGGCGTGTGTATGTGGTAGCAGATGACTCTTTTGAGTGGGAAGCATGGTTGGATCGTGAACGCTGGGGGTGGACGGCAATATGGGCTCGTGGATCTGGGGTCTGATGATATATCCAGCAAGCCTCATACTATTGTACAGTCATGCATAGCATGTTCTCTTGACATGAACTCTATTCGGATTCTACCGGTACAAGTATAGGGATCGTGGCGGCGGTGTTGGGCGGGTGAAGACCGGCTGAAGGGCGGTCTGCAGGAACGCCGGACAAGCAGGAAATCTCGATCGATCTATCCTCTTTGCGAAGTTCCGTACGAGGTCTGGGGGAGTTCCGGTACGTGAGCGGAATCAACGGGAGTACGGAGGAATAACAACAAAGCAATCATCTGTACCTAGGTAACTGTGCAGTACTGTGTTCACAGTTGACAGTATAATAATACCGTGTAAGCACCTCCTCATGGGTCCCCTTCCAACGGCGGTGCCAGGAACAGCAGGAACGGGCAGCAGGAACAAGGCGGCCCCTGGTCCCGTGGCCCTTGCGGCAACCTTCACCCTCATCCTCACCCTTTATTACTATATCGATCCATCTCCAACATCCCTTTGCAAGTTGGTCTCCTCACCTTCACTTCCACGGCACCAACGGCCACCAACGCCTGGAGGCTGCAACGCCCCAGAGGTCCCCACGGCCCCAGTGGCAGGTCCGTCACTCCCGCCGTTCCTCTGATAGATCTCCGGTCCCCTTGCTATGTGCCGCTCATCATCTCCACTCTCCACCCGCCGAGGACCCTGATCCGCGCCTCATATTACCTACGCAGTAGTAAATGGCCGACTCACCCGCCTCCTCGGCTTCCTCCACCTCCCCGCTCCTCTCTCCTTCCACCACTGCGTCTGCTGCCAACATGGACGACGAAACCAGCTCCGACCACCGACCCACTTCACCATCCGCGAGCCGCAGCAACAACAATAACAATAACAACGACAACAACAACAACAACCACGACGACGACGCGCGACCCTGCACACCCCGAACCCAAACAGAGCCCTCCATGGAGCCACTGACCTCCCACCACACGCGACCGCGCAACCGCTCTCCCTACTCTCACGCCCACTTTCGCTCACGCAGTGGCTCCGGCTCCCCCGGCGCGCCGCCCATGATGAGAGCTCACTCGCTACCCACCGTCATCAATCCGAGCGGACATCTGTCCCTCTCGCCCTCACCGCTTCCTACCGCACGCCCCTCTTCGCCGCTGCGCTCCCCAAAGCGCACGCGCAGTCCTTTCCGCCTCGCCGACGAATCCTATGCACACTCTGGCGCACCTCGAGTCTGTGACATCTCTGAAGATGCCGAGCTCGACTTGACTCCACGGCCAGCCAGCAGCGTCCCCACCACCACCCCCTTCCACCCGTCTCCGCTTGGAAGCGTGTACAGCAGCACCGGTTCGCTGTCGAGGACTGCAAGGCGACGGCCCGCCTCCCCCCTACACCATGCCTCGGTTCCTTTTGGCGGTGCTGCTGCTCCCCCGATCACGCCCACCTCAGCTCCCTCCTCTTCCAACTCGCCTCTGCTCTCCTCCGCAAAGTTCAACGAACCCTTCCCCGGCCTCAACGCGCATTACCCGTCGTCGCTCGCCTCGTCCTCGGTCCCCTCCACGCCCACCTCGATGCGCTCTCGCAGCCCTTCCATTTCCTCTCTCGAGACCATTCCAGACACCCCCGATGCGGAAGCGGAAGCGGTCGAGGCCGATCGCCTTGCTCGCCTGAAAGCTGCTTTGGAACGTGGCAATGGCAGCGATGACGGGAACAGGAGATCCAGCCTCGATGTACCCGGAGAGCGGCGTGCCTTCAATTTCGGCAGGCGGGATTCGAGGAAGCGATGGAGTGTCTGCGGTGCCGAGAGGCGGCAGGACCTGGATCTCGAGACCATTTGGGAGGACTGAGACAATGTGTCTGCGGACCCGTGTTGCACGGTGCAGAGAGGTGTGCATTGGAGGCGAGCTTCTTACGTGCATTTGCGGAACTCGGCATTTACGAGGCGTTCGTGGTCCATCTGAGGTGGCTTTAGCCTCCGTTCTTTTCCTCTTCGGTCCATTTCCTGCCACTCCTTGTCTGCTGCTCGTTGGCCTCAACCTCCATCTTGGAGTTCCCGGCATAGGGACGTACACGAGTGGCTTCCTCTATTTCCTCACGGTGTCTTTCCTGAGTACCTATTATGAGCATGATACCCTCCTACGATGACATGGATTTCAAGCAGTGTTAGTGGAGTATTTGGTATTAGTGTCTACCCAGCAGTACCCTTAGGTGTCTTCGCATTGTTTTGGAATGAATCTGATAAGCTATCTTGCGTGTGCACTGCGAGTCGGAGGTTTGAGTTCGTCTCCTTGTTCGCTTGGACTGTTTTTCTCAAGCAGCTGTATTCCCTTGCTCCATGTAGCCTCCCCACGCTCATTGTGCCTAGGTCTTCTCCCGGCGCAAGCCGGACTGTGACATCACGCTATCTATTTATACCTAGGTAGACTACTGCCCTGGTGGGGCTCAACACACTGGGGTAGCCCCTCCAGACCACTTATTTCGTTTCGCATCACAAAAACTTCAACCTCTCCTGCCGTCGTCAATCTTTCTCTTCCGTTTCCGCTGAAAAGCAGTTCACACATCCCACATGGCACCCATTCCGTTTGCCATCATTGGTACCAATTGGATCACCCATTCCTTCGTTTCACACGCCCACGCAACTGGGAAATGGGTACTCAGGGCTGTCTACTCGCGCAAGGAAGACACCGCAAAGGAGTTCGCCTCCAAATACAATGACGGTGCAAACATCTCCCTCCACACGTCGATCGAGGCCCTGGCGAACGACTCGAATATCACCGCCGTGTACATCGCCTCGCCGAATATCCTGCACTATGAGCACGCAAGAGCCATGCTCCAGGCGGGCAAGCACGTCGTGGTAGAGAAGCCCGCCACCACGACCTCAGCACAGCTTGCAGAGCTGTTCGAGCTCGCGCACAGCAAGGGATTGTTCCTCTTCGAGGCATTCCGGCACGTCCACGAATCGAACTTCCGGGTTCTGAAGAAGGAGGTGGATGCCGGGAGGGTAGGGAGGTTACTCGGTGCGGAGCTGCGATACTGCCAATTCAGCTCACGCTACGATGCGGTGCTGAAGGGGGAGAAGCCCAATGTGTTCAATCTGGACTTTGGCGGCGGTGCCTTGATGGATCTGGGCGTGTACTGCGTGTCCGCTGCGGTGAGGCTGTTCGGTGAGCCAAAAGAGAGCACGTATTTCCCCGTCATGGTCCCACAGACGGGTGCCGACGGCGGAGGGACATTGGTACTCAGGTATGCAGACGGTTTCAACGTCACGCTGGTATTCAGCAAAATGTGGCATAGCGGGGCGCCTACAGAGGTGTGGGGTGAGAAGGGCACGCTGGAGATCCCGACCATCACGGACATTGAGGGTGTGAGGTTCTGGGACCCGAGGGCAAAGAAGGGAGAGGAAATGGGTGTCAAGAAGGAGGACCTCAACCTCAAGGAGGAAGCGGAAGTGTTTGCGGATATTTTCATGGCAGGGGATAGGGAAGCCATGAAGGAGTGGGAAAAGCTCAGCATGGCGGTGGCCAGGGTCACCGAGAAGGTGAGGAAGGACTGTGGGTTGTTGATTCAAGGGTCATGAGGAGGTAAGCTCACGTCCTTTCCGCCGGGGTTGATATGAGAACGTTTTTGAATATACACATTGCCTGGACTGCTGACCGCGCAGTCTAGGTGCATACATTTGCAGGCGCCACAATTATCCGGCTAAGCGGTTTTATGGTAACCACATCTATCTCCAACGAAGTACAGCGCCCAGCCATGTCATGGAATGTTCTTGGGAAATGCTTACTGCGAGTTTCAATGCTCCTTTACTTGAAGGCCCCACAATGTTGAGAAGGTCATTTGAGCGCGCTCATGCACATGACAAGCCCACGCAGCAGCCACGAGGACTAGAAGTGATCTGCTCTACCGCTCAGTGATAGCGCTGGCTCTTCTCTGCTCTTTTTGATTCTGAGGGAATTCCACCGGCCCAGTCTCTTGTCGATCAGCATTGCCACAGACCCACGATCATCCCGTTCCCACGATCCAGAAGCTCAGAACCGGGGGTTTACGACCCAACGCAGCAAAACGATCTATCTAGCCTTATTCTCCCCTCGGCCCTCCGGTTCCTGGTTTCTCGCCCGATTTCCAAAACGAGTTCCTCGACTCTACGACACCGACCCAAGGGATCGCAATATAAATCCCAGCACCCAGGAGACCAACCACAAGAGTAGGATATATACAGCGCGCGAGCAGCATATCCCAGGGACGCAAGGTACATCTGAACGACACTCTCGCTCACGGCTGTACCATGCAGCAGAGAGACAAGCAATTGCTGATGACAACAGGCCAACAGGCACTTGAATGAAGTTCAATCAAAACGATATAGAGGTGCTATGTGCATACAGGGCGTATTGTGATCTACGGGTTATTCTTCGACAATGATTGATGTACGCCCCACATTACACCTGGGATCAGATAATGGAGAGGGTTGAGCAATAAGAGTAACATGGAGCGAGCAACTGTCTGGTTTGCCTTCATTCGAGCAGCGCCTCATTCCGCAAAGGCTTACGGATTCGACCAGTAGCTGGAAAACCGAGCGACTCCACCGTAGACATGCGAGTCCTCTCCAGAGTTGAGACGCTCCTAGCCGCGGCGACGACACTGAGCACGACTATCTGCGCCCATCCCACCTCTCCTCCTCCCCGCCAGTCCAAGTGCGGCCCCTTCAGTGGCGACTACTACGTCAAGCAGTACCAGCTGTATCCCGAGAATGCCGACTTTGACTTCAACTCGTGCAAGCTGTACATTGGGTGTGTTTTGTTTTTGACTAGTTCCAATTCCAATTCCACCTCCCCCTCCAACCGCCAAATCCAAGAGCTAACATAACCCTCTTACGAAGCCAACTCTGGAACGCCTCCCTAGGGATCCACGACCCGTACACGGGCGCCCACACGACCGTCGAATTCGACGGCATCTCGCACAACCCAGCCTTCCACATGGGCGCCGTCGGCGTGGACCGCAGGACGGGCCTCGTCTCCATCATCGCCGACGCGGCCAACGCGTTCCCCTCGGAGGGAAACGACATCTCGGGCACCAACTGGCTGCTCCAGCTGGACCCCAGGACGCTGCAGCTCGTCTACAAGATCAACCTCACCGAGAGTTCGCAGGGCGCGTACGGCGGATTCCAGGACGTGGAGCAGGACCCCGAGGGCAATGTTTTTGTCGTCGGGACCTGGCCCGGCAGTTTGACCAAGGTCAGCAAAGACGGCAAGACGGTTACTCCCTGGTATCTCCCCGACAAGATCGTCCCCACGGAGAAGGGCATCGGCGGTATAGCGGCCCTGGACTGGTTACTGCTGGCCCAGGGCGACCGGTCGGGCAAGATCTGGCGCTTCGATTTACAAGCTGAGAAGGGCGTGCCTGTCCCCGTGAAGATGGTCGGCCAGGGGGCGGCGAATCATACATTCGGCCAGAGCGATGCCATCTATCTCCCTCCCAGGCACAAGGGCACCGTCTTGCTGGTCGCCGAGGACACCATTGGTGTGTCGGTGTTCCGCTCCAAGGACGCAAAGTGGGAGGAGGCCGAGTTCAAGGGAATCGTCCCCATCGGCCAGGTCGGCCCGGGGACGAGCATCGTGGCGCCTGTGCAGATAGGCGAGAGCCTGTATAGGGTGTACGAGCCGTTTGGAGATGAGGGGATAGCCGGGCCGGGAACGGCAGGGAATCGGACGGAGTTCTTGTTCGAGGATATTACCGCAAGTGTGGATGCCTTGCTGAAGGGTTAGGTGGCTGGATAAGGGGGGCTTTCCATTTGCTATATATGGGTCGGATATACGTACAGCCTCTGTTCACATCCAACTGAACACCCCCCTGCACTTCCTCTGTACTGCTGTTTTCTACATCTAATGTAAACAGCTAGCAGGCGCAGCAATATAGGAGGTCCTGCAATTAGCTTTGTAGCGCACCTCTACGTATAGTAGTATGTTTAAGAAGAAAATTCTACCTGTCGCATTATTAAGTCGTAGCTAGTTAGCTTGTGCCGGGATAGTAATTCCACCTACAGAGGATTTGCAGCCGGATGTTCAGTTGGATGTGGAAACCCGCAGTATATCTCTCAAAAGAACACCTTCACCTTTCTACCATCGCTCCCCTCTTCAAACAAATTCCGCAACTTGTGCACCCACTCCACTAGTCCACTCCGATCAGCAAACGTTCCCCCATCCGCATTACACATAAAAACACGACACTCCAACCAAGCATACCCGCTATGTACAGTCACTGAATTCGTTGAGAATGATGGGCTCAAACAAGCGGACCGATACCGTACCGGTCGATTTTGCCCGCTGTTCCCTCCAACTCAATCCTTTTCTGAACTGCCCATTCAACCCATCTTGGATTCTAGGGGCGCCTGGCCTCATCCTTCTTAAGCACAGCCCCAAACCGGGTGCCTTTCCGTTGTTGTACGGTCTTTACCTTTTGGCGGACTAATCTTATCAGCTCGTTCCGCCCTCCATAGCGCCCCGAGACATTTTGAAAACGCCTGTCTTTCGGAAGCCGTCATTTCATCGCATTTTGGTTAGATCCTCGGATCAGTCCATGGATTTTGCTGCTCCCTCATCTTAGGCTCTTTCAGTGCCTGTAAACTCTGATCCCGTTTCTCAACTGCTTGCTTGATTTCGGTTGGACTAATAAGTCCTGAAGAGACGAGTTTGGCGATCGTCTGGCTCCGCCTCGTTTGAAAACTCTTAGCAACCTGGCCTACCTCAGGAAGCCCTAATACAGCTCGGAGCCGTCCTCTGTACTGATTTATTCGGTTCGGATTTAGTGGCTCCCCTCTCTCTTTCATTCGTAGTAGAGCCCACTCCAGTGAGACGATTGGATCCGAGTCCGACAAGATCTGTCTCATTGCATCCCAAGCTAGGGTCTTTCCAGCAACATTGAGAAATCGTTCGAGTTTTGTCAATGCGGGGCCTGCGTCGAGGGGTCGAGTGGTACCCGGATGGCCGAGACTCAGCGTAAGGGCGAGTTGGAAGATTCATTCGCGTATGACAAGCATGGCCGAGCCTGCTTTGTCGTCAGTGGTCCCAATTCGCCCCAAACCCCGTCAAAGGAACCATTCGGGATGGGCGGTCGCACATATGATCCGCACGACCGCCCCAGACGTGTCTCGTTCGAGGTGAATGCCCACGGTCGAAACCTTCTTGAGGCCCATGTCCAAAGCAACGGGCCGCCATCGATGTCGTTGAAGGTATTCGTCGATGGACACTTTTTCCATCAGCAAAGACGACCTTTGCGGTAGAAGCACTGAGCAATTTGTCCGTGAAACGGGCGTGTGCATCCAGAATGGCCTTGCAGAACTCCGTCTCGTATGGTTTTTTGAGTGTGACCCGTTGACGATCGCTGCGCTTGTACCGACGGACGAACCAGTCCAACATCAGTACCCCCTGAAAACTCCCAACGATTGGGCGACAAAAGCTATGCACGGGTTTGTGGGATCAAACGTGCAACCGTATTTTGGGTTGCTTGTAGTGAAAGAAGGGTAATGTAAGACGATCGCTAGAGCATCGTCCAACCGTCCAGAAGGCTTTACAAGAAGTTCTTTCGGTTCATTCGATAGAGCGGCTCCCTCGATCATATCTCAGTAGAAAACCCTCACCTTTTCACCGTCCCTTCCCTCTTCAATCAAACTGCGCAACTTGTGCACCCGATCTATCGGTCCACTCTGCTCATCAAACGTTTCCCCCTTCCGCATTACACATGAGAACACGACATTCCATCCAAGCATACCCGCCGTGTAGAAAACCTCCGCCACAGCGGCATCCCGCGACCCGCACTTAAACAATCTATACACTTGCCGCCCATAGCTGTTGTACGAAGACCCCTCCGCCGGGACCGCGAATGTGGAGACGACGATGTTGTATACCAGCGGCGACAGACAGGGGCGGCGGAGTGAATTACTGCATCCGCAACTGTCGCAGCTGTCGCAGCTTTCCTCGTCGCGGTCGGGCGTAGTAAGGGCCGCCGAGGCCCATACCCGTGGAATCTGGCAACATTGAACGGGGGCGGAGCCGATGTCACACGATTCCATAATGCTGCTGCCGCTGAGAAGTGCGGTTTCTGCAGCCTTGCAGGGCCGGGCATACCATGCGTCGGGCGAGCCGTGTTGCAGGATCCATCTGTAGTTGTCCAGGTCTGCAGGAGCCGCGTCGTGGACAAGGGAAAGCACAGTGCGCTTGAATGGCTCGAGGTGAAGGAAGTCGCTGGTCGAATTCGGAAAGTAGCTAATAGTAGAAGGGATAAAGACATCCGGGCTGTAGACACGTCTCGGGGAGATGGGTGGTGGTGGTGGGGGCGCAAGAAATGTCACCGGCGGCGGTGGAGGCGGAGGGAGGATCTGGAGAGGAGGCGGTGGAAGCACACCGAGAGGGGGCGGCGGTTGGGGTGGACATGGATCTGAGCCTGTCGTAAAACCAGAAGGACTTGCTCGAGACTTGGCTGGATCCCCAGCAAGCAGAGATGCAGTGGTATGATGCCAATCGAACGCATTGGGGGTTGTCTGGAAAAGATTCTCTGGACAAGCGGGATCGTCCGCGTCGTCATCCAAGCCTGCGAGCTTATGAAGGGATTTCACATGACGGGCGGGTTTTCTTGACTTTATTGGAACGAGACTCGGCTCGCTTGAAGGCGGAGGCGGAGGAGGAGGAGGAGGTGGAGGTTCAAGCAGAGACTCTCTCCATGGCTGGCCAGGAACGAGTGACATTGCAGGAAGCTTTTCGATGAGAACAAGATCCTCTTCCATAATGAAGTGATATGTATGGAATTGAGAAGGGACGCTGGGTTTGAGGTGGCGGTGCTCTCTCGATATGGGTTGAAGTTCAGGCGAGTTGAGCCGAATTGAATGCTCGCCATGGCGATGCAAAGTATCTATATATTTTTGAAGTTGAGGAGAAGGATTTCTGCAGCAGGTCGCACGGAATCGAGCGGACAAGATTAGCAGCACATCATGAGCGTTGTTGCCTAACCTCGTGAGACCATGAGCACTCTATGGATGCTCCAGAGTGAGGCTGCCTGGAGGAGCGATGTAATTTGTAGAACATCGTCAAGGAGATAGTGTGTCCCAGTACCAATCGGGTGCGGAGATAATGTAGTGCTCTGGTAACCGACACACAGGCTGAGAAGATGGCCAATGATACGGAGTCTTCTATCCGCATATGTGGGCCACTGTTGGCACGCCTGAGAAAGTACTACTTGTCCGACAAGGAGTCCACCTGCCAGGCCCGCCCAGATAAGCAGTTTGTTGCGGAAGAGGACGCGGACCGTGAAGGTCTCTTGCTGGTGATGACCCATGTCGATGTAGCCAAAGAAATTGAGCAGCTTCACCATACTGATTCTTCCTGTTCAAGTGTGTAACCGGTCCTTCGAAAAAGCTCGTCCATGTCAGTGATGGTTACTATGTCCGTGAAGGATCTTGGACAGAGGTCGATTCTGGTGAAAATGAAGCGAATGAGCTGCAGACAATGGGCCCGATCTCCCATGTGGGATCTGCACGCAAAAGTGAAGCACCTAGACCCGCGTTGACGGATGGGAGACGCCCTGCTCAACAAGGAGATGGATGGAGATCTGACCGGTCATTAGCACTCGAATAGAGTTTGCACGAAAGGTGCTGCGTCTGAACGGTGAGAAGAGAATCATGGAGTTGCGAGCGAGGAATGACGTTCGGATAGAAGAGGAGCCTAAGGATGTGGTTGACCAAATCCGCGCTTATCCTCATTCGTGACTAGCGCAAGTCCAAATGTCCAGGGTCGGACATTCTGCAGGCGTCATTCCAACACCGCAACAGCTCTCCCAACGAGGAGCTCCCCTTCCCCGTTCAACGTGATCGTACCTCGAAATCGACCACTTTTCCGGAGGATATACCTCGCCTGCTCCGGAACTTGCCTTCAACGAACAAGAAGCGCAATATGGCAAATGGCTGGGCGCCCTTCATCGGCGCCATCGTAGTCGCGGTCTTCTGCGCCGCGGCCTGGTTCCTGGCTCCCAAGGGCGAGAATCAGACGTACGGAACTTATCCTTTCTTGAATAAACAGGCATGCTGACCAGGACCAGTATCTGGCGCTCAACGCTCGTACTCTCCGCCGTCTCGATGTATCTCATGTGGCGTACGTACCCTTCCGTCCCGTGCCTCACACAGCACAACCACGAGGTTCTAACGGCGATTAGTGATAACATTCCTCGCACAATTACATCCCCTTATCTCGCCGGTACGGTATGATCTTCGAGGGGAGCATGGAGGGGCTTCGTTGTGAGATGGTGTGAAGGATGGAAGATAAGCATAACTGAAGGAGGTGAAGTCGCATGCAATACCACGTCCTCGAGAGCTTGAGATACACATATATTGCTCTGGTCGGGAGGAAGCCTCCTGCGTGGAAGTAAGCAGACGGGCGTAAGAATTGGTGGAGCGTTATCCGTTGATATCAAGAGATGTGGAAGGGACCTCAGCATGCACGGGTCAAATGGGACGACGGATTGGAACTGGCAGGCGTCATGTAACTGGACTTTGAATGTCGCGAGGCCCATTATAAGCTAATGGCGCTTTTATATATAAGCGAGCTTACTTCCTTTGAAACCTTTCTTCAGCTGAGTTGCAACATCATAGCGCATTCACTCTATCGTACAGTCGTACATCTCACCTGCCCATCCTTAGATTCGCCACTTTCTCCAGAGACTCTCCCATAATCCTCCCTCCCACCCCGTCCCCAGCCCCGCAGCCTTCAACATCAAAAGCGCGACCAAGCTCCTGAACCCCGCTCCCACAGCCACCAAGAAGGCCGCCCGCAAATACCCGCAATCCATCAGAATCTCCAACGCAGCGATGTTATTGACGATGACGGCCCAACTGACGGCCGTGGCCGCGCTGGGCAGATCGTAGTCCCATATCTTGAGCACGATGGGGAAGAGCTTGGAGCAGGAGCTGACGATGAGGGCGGTGCTGAGGGGCGCGGGGTGCGGGTAGTAAGGGACTAGGAAGCGGTAGAGGCGTTTCCAGAGGCCGACATGCCCTTTGGGGTTGACTCCTAGTTTTGCGCTGCAGAGGAAGCAGATGGGGAGGTGGAAGGCCGCGGTGCTGGCGCAGACGAGAAGGAGAAAGAAGAGGTACTGAGTGAGAAGGGGTTGAGCTTGGAGAAGGAGGACATTCGTGGGTGGGTTGGAGGAGTGAGTTGAGTGATGGGAGGGGTGGTTTGGCGGAAGGGGGAATTGCTCGATGCGGACCCAGGTGAGGTAGACATCGAAGAGGAGGAGGAAGAGACCGAGGCGGAGGATATGGCGCTGGGGGAATGTTAGGCTGGAAAATTATACGAATAGGAAAAGATTGATTGTTGTACTTAAACGTACATCGAACTTGCCATCCTCACGTCCTAGAGCATTGAACAGCAGATGCCTGTACACCTTAATAGCTTGGTCAGTTAAATACCTTGAAAGCAGCATCAACTTTGAGATAAAGACGATGAGAAGTGAGCACCGTCATACCTGCGGCTTGATCAACACCAAGTCAATGAACAACACGACGAAGTCGTGCTCCACATATTTGTCCGCGAAGCGTTTACAGCGGGGGCATTGGGTAAGCCGCACGCCTTTCCCCAAGGCCCGGTCATCCGCCTTGGAATACTCCGTGTATAGCGTTTTCACTGGATAGCGGCATTCTATACAGGTGGGCATTGAAGTTGTGGGGACCGACGCGGGTGGTAAAGATGGTGTTGGAGGGTCTGGGATGGAGTTTATGTGCGTGCCAAGCATTTAACTCCGAATATATTGTGTATTCCTCTAGCACAGTACGTACTAACACTGTTGTTTGAAGAATGTGACATGCAATCATCAGATTCATTAGAGTCGTCTCTCGTGGCCAGATTCAAAGGCCGTGGCCATTGCGCTCAGGGGAAATCCCCACATGGAGATGGTTGAACAGAAATGACATAACAAATCAGAAATGAAGATCCAACCAACAATCAGACTCCCACGTAACTATTCCCAGTCCTCCAACCGAGAAGTCGGAATCCGATGACAAGATGTAATCCAACTCCTGATAGAGAAGATCAGTCCCGGAAGAAACCGTTCGTAGCATACACCCCGATTTAGGTGAGCGTCGCTATCATGGCACCGAGCAACTTTGGATTTGGCTCCCGTCTTACTGTCCGAGAATCAACGCCATGCTCAGCGGGCCGAGCGGACAAGGGCCAACCTACCCTTTCGATCCTTTTCGACACGGATGACTTCTCTGCGGGGCTCACGTCGTTCGAGGACTACGTCGTAGTCGCCTTCCCGCTCATACTTGAGCATGCGTCGTTCGGCTTCCAAGGCCCGGATTTCCTCTTTGATGTCGCGCTCCGAGCGAGTGTCGTGTTCCACACGGGTGAGACGCCTCTCTTCGCTGTGATGCCGTCTGTGATGGCTTCGGTCCTCACGACGCGCCTCGTCAGGGACCAGAACAGTCAAGGGGCCGCCGATATGGTTCGACTCCTCGATGCGCTCCTCGTATACTTCGTGACCATGCCGGGACGGAGATACACTTCGTACAGAGGGCGCATGATGGACACTCGGAGCGGGCGGGGCAACCTCTACAGGTTCGCTCTTCTCCGCGTAGACGTAAGTCGTTTTTTCTAGAGTCGGTTAGTCACCAAGACGAGACGTGGGACGGGCGATCACAGTACCCTCTTTGTAATTCTCGCTGACTTTGATGATCTCGTCTATGTGCTCCTTCTCGAGCGCCCGCGTTACGATAATGAAGTCGTCCTGCTACCGTCAGAGCGGATTCACAAATGGGCAGTCGTTAACCTACCTCCTCCTCGAAGGGATAACCGAGCTCGATAATGGCTTGTTTCTTAACCAGGCGTTTGGGCATCCGCGTTTTGCCCTTCTTCCCCACGTTAGCCCGGGGCAGGACGATCTCCTCGAAGCTGGAGGTAGAGGAGCTGCGAGTCGAAGACGCAGCGATGCTCCTCGCACGGCGGCGGCTTCGGCTCCGGCGGCGGGTGCTCTTCTCCCGCTGAATTTCAACTTCCCTGTATTCTTCAACCGGGCGACCGCGACGCTCGCGCTCGCGTTCGCGCTCATAGTCATGATATCTGTGGTGATCGTATTCATCATCCCTATGGCGTCGTGGAGATCTGCGCCGTTCGCGGATGGGTAGGGGAATAGGCACGTTGGTCGGGGGTCTCCATTCCTCACGCTCGTACTCGGAATAGCGAGGCAGGGGACGGCGATCATAGGTGTCTAGGGATGACTGACGGCGGTGGTATCCAGGACGAGCTGGGCGGCGGATGGCAATGTCAATGTCCTTCTCGACGACCGACTTGCGACGATATGGGGCAAGGGCCTGGTTCGCGATCTCGGAGGGGGTAGGCTCGTCGAACAGGTCTGACCGGCGATGGGATCGGCTGAAGCGGTCCTCTTCACGATAGCGGTCACGGACAGCTGTACGATGGGCGTGGCGGTCGTAGTCTTTGTGAATGTCAATGTCAATGTGGCCTCCGGGATACCTGTCGTGGTCGGTGTAGCGGAAATGGTCGTGGTCTTTGTGTCCGCCCCTCACCCGCTCGAAGCGATGGCGGTCCCATCGCTCGCCGCGGGCTGGGTGGTCATCGATGTAGCTGAGGTCGCCTGTGGAGGCTCTATACATGGTTGGTGAAGCTGCCAGGGGTATCGAAGCGGGAAGGCGAGGTTGGCAATGACTCTGATGTGCGGCGTAGCTGTGCGCAGGTACTGCGTGGAACGGAGGTGAGAGAGGGAAGGAGAGAAGAGTGGCAGGAAAATCAGCTTCAGTGAAGAAGGACGATCAGGGTAGGCGGGTCCATATACTGTGTCGAAAGTAGCCGGAGGGTGGGTGCGTCATCGGCGCAGAGCAGGCCCTGCATCTGCTTGAAACCTGCGCTGCCACTATTTTTGGTGGGACGTGGCCTTACGGGTAAGGACACTCATCTATGGTGAGCTGATCTCGGTGCAGGAGCGGGCGCAGGTTTCGGAGAGAGGGCAGAGAACACAGTCGCGGCAGAGAGGATAGGTTCGCTCAGGAGAAAGTGCTTCACCCCGCATCTTTTTGACGTGTTTTCGTGTCGTCCAAACGATTATACGCAGCCTATTCCGTACTGTAGAAAAAATCTACCGCGGATTGTGAGGGGCACCGAGGCACCAGGGGCTCAAGCGTCAGTGACGTCACTCCAGGAGTGGCTTCCCGTCGCAGCAGCGTCCGCGTGGTTTGAGGCAGGAACGGTCTAGCGCAGCAGCTGGGCCACCATCACCCAACTCCACCTCACCAGAGCAACCTTTCAGTTTTATTATGAGAGCCACCCATCTCTGACCATCCCTATCGCCTTCCCTTCTGTTTGGCTTTTCGCAATTTTTTACTGCCATATCGACGACAAGTTTTGAGAAGGGGCGAATTTCCGATATAATGTTACAATGGGCGCAGACCTGCGCCGAACACCCACATCCTTCGTCTATGATGTTACAGATTTTATCTTCTCCACCACGTAGCTCTGGTCCACCGGCTTCCCCGATATTTGTTTCATGACGTCCCTCATCACTGACTTGAAATCTGCCTTCTCTCCGCTGCCCTGCAAGCTTCGCACAGCTTCGTCCACTAGCCTGTCGACCTGCTCCTTGCTGAGAACCGGTATCTCCTCCAGGTATCCCTTCAGCACCTGTATCTGCCCGCGCTCCTTCTCCACCAGGTCGTCGCGTTTCGCCATCTCAAACTCCTCCAGCGCCTTTTCCGACGATGCAATCTGCTTCTTGAGCAGCACAAGGAGCTTGGCGTCGGAATTGACTGGGTTCGGCGTCTTGGACGCATTTGTGATCTCGGCCATCAGAGAGCGGAGGACGTTGAGGCGCTCCTTGTCTTTGGCCCGCATGGCATCTTTAAGCTTGTCTTTGAGCCCATGCACCAGGGACGAGTTCTCTGTTGACCGGTTTGCCGTCGTACTGCTGAAGGAGCGGATGACGGGAAATGGTCGGCGGAGAGAGGAGGCCATGTACAGGCGGGGAATTCGTCGGCAGGCCATGTCGAAGGAATTGGCGTATTGATACTTTCTCAGTGGTAATGGGACGAAGATTGACAGTTAATAACAAAGAGCGAATCAGTATCTGAAGTATTTAGATCAGATCATGTTAGCAAAAAGTTGTTGGTAACTACGATTCGGGTCCCTGCCACCTCCTAGCTTCCTGCCAGGCGACCTGATCCTTGCAAGCTTGGCGCTGACCTTTTGTTTTCCCAACGGCTCGCATGCCCAAGCTCCAGCTTCACCCACCGCGATTGTTCGCTTTCCAACCACTATCTCGGTGCACGACCCGATCGCGCACGCTGCGCGCTACTGCCTCCCGCCTGCTTGCTGTTTTGCTACGCCGTCAATGTCCATGTCCTTCTCTTAGCGCGTCCTAAACCCAACCATCACACGGCTTTCCGAGGAAGCCGTCTCCTCACCACTCCGCCGACGTCGTCGATTTCCTTCCTCTTACCCAGGTGACAGTCCGAAGATGGCATCCTCAGCGCCCCCCGCGACGCCTCAGCGTCCTACGCCTGGCGCATTTTTTAACACGCCGGCGCCGAATAGGCCAGCTCTCTTCAGAACCTCCTCAACACAACAGCAGTTGATCCCTTCAGGGAGCACGGCACCCGCTGTTACGGCGCCCAGCTTGTCTCCGATAGACCGTGCTTCGCGGACTGTCTCTAATATGCTGGATCAGGATGCCAATTACCGGGATCTGGAGACCTATCTTGGACGTATGTAGAGCCCCGCCAGGTTGGCCATTCTCGGACTAACAGCGAATGCAGAGGGCATATCGGGAGAATATTCCATCACCGACGGCGCCTGGACGCCATTCGAGGAACTGAAGAGATATCGCATTCCGGACCGCATTCTGGAGCAGATCAACATGACCCAGATGTCCACAGACATGGGACTGTTCGCCGAGATAAACCACGCTTGGGTCACGATTGACAACCAGCTGTACCTTTGGGACTACACCAACCCGAATCCTGAATTGATAGGGTACGAGGAGCAGCCCAACACCATTCTGAGCGTCAAGTTGGTGAAGCCTCGAGCAAAGGTCTTTGTCGATGCCATATCCCATCTCCTGGTGGTCGCTACAACACAGGACATGTTTCTCATTGCTGTGCAATGCGAAAAGGGCCAGGAGGGCGTTCACGGCGTCACTCTGTTCCGGACCAATCTGAGCACCAGCGTCAAGGGCATTCCGGTGAGCGCCATCGCTGGCTCCGACAGGACAGGCAGGATATTCTTCGGCGACGGAGGGAGCACAGAGGATGTGCATGAGCTCCTCTACCAGCAAGAGGAGAGGTGGTTTCGCTCAAGTTGCACGAGGGTGAATCACACCAAGAAGTCTCTCATTCCCATGCTTCCCTTCTACCCCAGCGCGAACCCGGTCCATGTGGTACAGATTGAAGTCGACGACACAAGAAACGTGCTGTATACCCTGTCGTCCAATGGGAGTATCCGCGTTTTTCATATGAAGGACCCATCAAGTCTGGACCTTGTGATCACGCAGTCGTTGAGCAGAACCATGAGCATGTGCTCTCACATTGTGCCCCAACGTTCGGAAGCTTTGAGCGGTAACAAAATGGAGATTGTTCGTATTGACACAGTCTCCGCGCGGGAAGCGACATCGGTTTCGCTCATTGCGACCACTTCCACTGGGTGCAGGATCTTCCTGAGCACTACGACTGGCGGCTACGGGTACAGTACCGACCCCAACTCGCCTCCGAGCAGTATGCAGGTTCGCCACATCCGATTTCCCCCCATAGATCCCACACAGACCCCGAGCCCAGCTCCATCCAATCAGCTCCAACCTTATCAAGCTTCTGCGCCTATCGGATTTGACTCCAAGTACCTGACGAGAACTATGAACTCGCGGAGGTATGCGCCAGGGTCAACGTTCTTCTTCGTTAAAAGATCGCTCGATGCGGCGGTGGAAACATTATTCCTGACCGCCCCCCATTCTGGACAGACTAGTTCGCAGCAAGACCAGACCCAGAACCCTCGTTTCACGGAGGACGCCCAGACTATGGAACTGAGTGGGTTCATGCAGGATATTGGGCTTGTTACTGAACCATTTGCCGCCACCAGCAGACCGCTGGGATTCGGAAATGAGCTAGCCGTGCAGTTCGACAAGCCGTTGTGTGAATTCGCAATCATGACGCATACGGGGGTTCAGACACTGCGGCGGCGGCGACTCGTGGATATCTTTGCGGCAATCATCAGGTCGGGCGGTGGTGCGGAAGGCATCGAAGGCGATCTGCGAAGATTCCACGCTCAGTACGGCAAGCGAGAAACGACTGCCACTGCTTTAGCCGTTGCATGTGGTCAAGGTTCATATGTGGGGCCTGACTTGCGCGTTGCTCAACTCAGCGATCCGGATGTGCTGGACTACGCCCTCAAAGCCTTCATCGAGTTCGGCGGAAAAGCACAGCTGAATGAGAACGCATCAGTGGAGGGTGGGCTGAACATCGACAATGTGCTACCATCTCCCCGCCATGACGGCATTGCTGTGTACATCTCTAGGCTTGTACGTTCCATCTGGAGATCCCCCATCATCACACAAGCAACGACTCCAACTGGATCGACTCTGAAACCGTCACGCGACGTTGCGAAGCTCCGGGAAATACAGCGAGCGCTTATCGCATTGCAAGAGTTCTTGGAAACCAACAAGCAGAACATTGATGGCTTAGCGGGGCCGGAAGCGTTGGGACGGGCCAATTCACGGCAGGATGAAGTTGAGATGCAAGGAGAGAACCGAGCGCTCACCAGCCTCATGGTGCTTGTAAACAATATCATCGAGGGAATCGCCTTTGTGCTCGTCATGTTCGAGGAGAGGCTAGAGGACATCCTCGCCCTACTCCCTTCGGAGACTCAAACCAAGGTTATGCAACTCACCTTCCAGGGACTGTTCTCACTTCAGGAGGGCAAGGACCTCGCAAAGGCCTTGGTAAAGGCAATTGTCACCCGCAATATAGCTAAGGGCTCGAATGTGGAAACTGTTGCCGATGCGCTGAGGAGGAAGTGTGGCAGCTTCTGCAGCTCGGACGACGTCGTCATCTTCAAAGCCCAAGAGAGCTTGAAGAAGGCAACCGACGCTGGTGCAAACTCTGAGCGCGGTCGCATCCTCCTGAACGACAGTCTTAGGCTGTTCGAGCAGGTGGCCAAGAGTCTGAGCGAAGAGTATTTGACCCAGGCGGTCCAAACATACGTCCAGATGGAGTTCTATGCAGGTATGTGTAAGATATGGCCATGTGGGAGCAGCACTGACCGTGGCTTCAAGGGGCTATTCGCCTGGCATTGAAGGTGGCACAGGAGAGCGACCGAGCGAATACGGCCCTATCATGGGTAAAGGATGGTCGACCCTCCCCGGATGCGCGTGAACCTGCATACAGGAAGAGAACAGTCTGCTACGATTTGATATTCAAGGTTATTGAAGCCGTCGATAACGCGAATACCAACGAGCAGAGTGTACCTGATGGTATCATCTCACCAACGCAGAAACGGCAACAGGAGGCGTACGAGCAGATCAACAACTCCGAGGATGAGCTCTTCCAGAACTATCTGTACGATTGGTATATCAAACAAGGCAAACAGGACCGTCTGCTCGAGATCCAGTCACCGTTTGTCGTGGAATATCTGCGTCAGAGCTCGTCCTCTGATATCGCTCATGCAGATCTCCTTTGGCGGTATTATGCGCACTACAACGACTTCCTGAACGCTGCTGAGGTCCAGTTCGAGCTTGCCAAGAGTGACTTTGCTTTATCGCTGGAGAAACGTATAGAATACCTGTCACGGGCAAAAGCCAACGCCTCAACCCGCATCACGGGCTTTTCCGACAGCGGTGTGCGCACGAGACAGTCGAGACAGGAGCTTCTCCGAAGCATTGGCGACCACCTCGACAACGCTAACATTCAAGACGATCTTCTGCAAAAGTTCAAGAGCGAGCCGCGGCTCAAGGGAGACAAGCGGAAGGAGGTCCTGGAGGCTCTGGACGGGAAGCTTCAGACGTTGAGCGACGTACGTATCCTTATCCCTTCGTTGCGACCATCTGCTGACCATGCCAGCTCTACAACAACTATGCCGACCAGGCAGGATACTACGATATTTGCCTGTTGATATACCATGCTGCCGACTACCGCGATCTCCCTGCTATCCGCTCCACGTGGACCAACCTCATCGAGCAAACCCATGAAAAGGGAAGAACAGCGGACGTTCAAGGTCCCTGGGAGCTCGTGGGCGCCGAGGTTGAGTCTATTGGTCGACGCGTGGCTCTCAACGAGAACGTCTTCCCCGTAAACGTCTTGCTACAGATTCTGCTCCAGTACGACCTAGAATGCTATACGCACGACCCCAATGGCGGAAACCGAAACAGTGCACTTACATATTGCCCAGCGCTCACCTGGCCCATAGATGTGTTTATTCGAGTCGGCGCACCCTTCGAAATCATGGTCGCCACATTGGAAGCACTTTGGTATGCGCAAGAGGCTCCGTTTACGGGGAGGAACCGGAAGTCATTGATCAAGTGGATCATCTACACGGTCGAGGAGTGGAGTCACGTGTCCAACAGGCAGGGGCTGCTGTTCGGTGGCGAGGAGAATGCCATTGGCCTGGCGGATTGCCTCCGTGTCGTGCTCGGATCTAATGAGCTCGGGCGCGATACGAAGGATGATAGCGACTGGGCCGAGCGAGGAAGAAAGATTAGGGCGGTGGTAGACGCGGCCGCGAGATAGGCCGTGAGAAACTTGCTTGGAGCGTAATCTGGACCAGAGGAAACCTTGTGAAGAAGTGACAAAAGATGGACTATATGATTATGTATTGGGCTTTACGTGGACGGAGACATTTTGACGTCTGGCCATTCTTAATCGGCGTCAGGAGTTGAGCATCCTGATGCATGCATGCTTGTATTGTACAGAGCGGTTTTGAGAAGAGGCATGGTAGCGAAGCGAAGCGTTGAATGTGAGCATTGGCGCTGATGTCTATATAGAATCAACTCTGGTTCCAGGGCGTCTTGTCCCCTCAGGCGAGAGCCAAGGCCTCGTTCTACCATTTCTCAATATCATCGCGACAAGGTGGCTAGAACGCTTTCGCGAAATAGCGGTTCATCCAAGCCTCGCCCGATAAGAACTAGCTTTGCCTGATCATCGTTTGATGACTGAGCCTCTGTCGTTTCGTACACACTGCGGACCCCTTGGATCAGAAGGACTCTTCCGTCCTTGACTGGGATCCTACCTTTTAGCCTGTGGATTTCGAATGGCTTCTGCTGAATATCGTCCGGGAGCGTGTTTTCCCAGAGAATGAGGCGCAGAAATCTGTCGAACTGATCGACCTGCTCCTCGCTGAGTGGCGGGAAATTGATTGTTATTGTGGATATGGTCTAGACGCAGTCAATGCAAGGTATCATCTGGAGCTGCAAGTGCTACCTACCGGATCCATATGGCTATGGCCCTTGCTCGTAAAGCGCAGATCTGCATCTTTCACTTCTTCATATGCATGCAGGTCTAGCAACATGCCCTCCAGCTGCGGCACTCGACTTCTCTCCGTGACCTCAATTTTCGCCAGCCCATTGATGGACCGTATCCGCTCAACCACATTGCTCAGCTCCTGCTCGGACACCAAGTCCGACTTATTGACCAGAATGACATCGGCATGGCTGATCTGGAGATGGGCCGTTGTGAGTAGCAAACCATGCTCGTCGTGGCCCCTCTCCTCCTCCAGCTTTGGATCATCTCCGTACCCCTCATCCAGACTCTTCAGGACATTCTTGGCGTCGACCAGCGTCACAATGCCGTCTAAGAAGATACTACTCCCTAGACCATCGTCCAACCAGAACAGCGGGGCGATGTTCCCGGGATCAGCAAGGCCAGTGGTCTCGAGAAGGATGTAGTCGAATTTGCCCCGCTGCTCCATGAGATTCTCAATTGCTGCAACTCCAACATCTTTCACGGAACAGCATATGCACCCGTTGGCTAGGGGTACGAAGGGTATGGGCTTTGCTTCTGTGCTGTTGGCATCAGAGACTACGAGTTGTTTTTCGATGTCGATCGCTGCGCTCGTGTTTTAGAGAGGCTACATGAAGAGAAGGATATACGTGGAGACCTTACAATCACCGAATTCGTTAAGAATGACGGCTATCTTCTTGCCGTGTTGCTCCGTGAGGATGTAATTGAGTAGTGTGGTCTTCCCGGCACCTAAATAGCCCGTGACGATAGTTATTGGCACCTTGCTTTGTTCCTGTTTTGTTGTCTCGGTGGGAACGAGTTCGGGAATGGCGTCTTCGGGTTGAATAAGTTCGGGGATTTCGTCGTCTGAGAGAGCCGGATCCATCACCAGATAAGGAAGTTTAGCTTTTCAAGTCGATGTATTGAAGTAGGTGTGAACCATTGCACGTGTTCGCATTGAATATGTCCTTGTATGTACTGTGGTATCAGGGGTAAATATTTGACATTCGCCACCTAGTGACGTGTGCGGCGTAGAAGCCTGGGCAAAGCTGGGCAGTCAGATTTCCTAACGTTTTGTATAGGAAA